GCGCGTTGTGTCGACAGATTTCGTGCATTGTGATTGGCCAACGCATTGCAAACTCTTGGAGGCGCACTATTGTGAATCGCCCGTATTCTGTGATACGGATGTAATGCTATAAGTGAAGCTCTAATGTACGTTTTCGGGGTGCGTTGCGCACACGATGCGTTCATGCGTTTCACTTTACGGACACAAATATTGACCCATAACATAACAACCGGGCGCGTTGCGTTCGGCCGTCAAAATTGCCTCGGGAGCAATTTTGACGGATACGCAACGATTGGCTCAAGCGTTGACGCGCTATGGAAAGGCTCCATACACTGCTGAATGTTTGCATTTGTCATGGGCACGGTTGTACGTATCAAGCGTTAACTGGGTTATGGGCAGAAACAGATGAGAGGATTGAATTTTTGGACACTTTGTCATTACCCACCTGTGAATCTTGTCCTCGTCGATCGTACTTTCACTACTATTCTGGGCTCTGGTCAGCCTCCTTCAAGCTCTTAGTGGCCCGTTCCTGCCTTTTCCCAAACAGGCCATCGGCGGGACACAACGCAGGGGGCCAAGGGCACCAGCGCTCGTCTTTAAGCTGGCCTGTCGACTTCTCCGCCTCGTGGTGACCAGCCAGGAACTGGGGGCTCATGTGGCCCATGGTGAACCGTCTTGCCAGCTCGCCCTCGTCGCGTTCGGCCGTTCCCTCGTCCGCATGAGCGAGTAGCAGGGAAGCGGCCAGGAAGAGCTGCACTGCAGCGCAGAAGACAACACCTTTCGCCATTTCGGATTTCAGATTTGAGCTGAACATTAAGAAGTAAATGGAATGAAACACCCAGCCTTTATATGGGTTTTCGGTGTAGTTTCAAGTAGGTTAGGTAAACAGTGTGCTAAATAATCCCAACAACTGAAATAGCTATCCGGACTCTTTGTATTTAGTTTCTTCGCACTCTCATCTTACTCAATTAAACGGGATTAATAGCTTCAACGATTATTGTCGATCTTTTTACTCGAAGAAACCCCTTAAACATGAGACAAAATATGTTCATAATAAAACGAAAACAGAATTTGCTGCCTTGAGGTAAACATTACAGTGGATTAAGATTTCAATTATCCTTCGCACATTGCACCATTTTGTGTTCTGCTGACCACTAGAGTGTGCTCAGGGGTAATTAAATAACTAAATTTTATACAGTCGAACACGTTCATTTCGCGCTTAAGCAAACAGTACGTGATTTCCTTATTCGTCGCTCAGTACGTGCGAGGCTCTATACAGATGGCTAGTACGTAATTGAAGCGTGGCCCACTCAATTTGTAACCTAATGCGCGCATTCAAAAATACTAAGGAGAAGCTGTCAGGGAGAACATTTAATGTTGACGACCATTGTTTCTGTGTATGTGTATTTTGTTACGTGATGCACTGCTGTGTAGAGTTTGAGTCAGTCTTTACACAGAAACATTCTGTACAGTAGTTAATGGTTTTGTTATCTCCTTGATATGAAGGGCTGTATCAACTTCTTTGAAATGGCCAAATGGTTCAGCTCGTGCTTTTCAGATCGTTAGTCGGTGGGTTCGAATCCCAGCGGTAGCCTTTTATTTTCCCGCCGCTTGCTGTCAGTCAGTAGCTATAAGAGCTAAATTCACCCCGCCAAATACTAAAAAAATTAGCTGCCAGTGACCGGGTAAGCTCTTCTGCTGGCACTGTCCGCGAAGTCCAGGTGACCGCTATACAGGTTCGAGATGTGTGGCCGACTCAGCGGCCAGGGGCTCATTGGCTTGTCTCGTTTCCTGCCATGCATGGTCGCTTGAACCTTTTGGGGGTTTAGGCAGGGAGGAAGTGTTGTGGGCCGGGAAACCCGAGGCCCCAGTAGAGTCCCAATGGAAGTCGGTAACTCCGATTCACAGTGAATTTCAGGAGTCCGTGCACCTGAATACTTGGTCAACACCGCCAAACTTTTGGATTTTTCCCTCACCACGTTTTTTTTTCATTCCCTGGGCGCAGAACCCACAAGGCAATTTTCTAGGTATGAATACAGTGAGCTAAAGGATTGATGCTGATTTACTTCATTTATAATCTTCAATTTCTTACATTTCCGACAACAAAAGGGATCCCAGCCGTGTTCGTGTTTCATTTCGTCTAAGTGATCTCAATATAAAGGCAGTAGCGTATGCAGTGATTGTTTATGGTTCAGGGGTAACAGATCCAAGGTGGCACAGTCGGGCAGAATAAATTTAAAAGTAATCACGTACGTATCACGGACAGCTGGCATAGTACTGGCACTCGCCCAAATTGAGAAACCGCTCAGAAGTATCTTTTCTCATGCAGGTGTAACGTTTTTAATGAGGAATCTTTTACTTTATTTTAAAAACGTATAATTAGGGTGAAATTTTTTTTTCGATGGAAGGGAAAACAATCACTGGCTTGCCTGAAAACTTTTGGCCAATTCAAATGTTTTGACTGGTGGATTTTGTGTGGTATTACAAGACAGGAGAGTGATGGGCTGCTTGGCCAAATTTTGAAACTCAAAGGTCAGTTTGGTCCAGCAGAGTTTCAAAACATGAGTACTGTTCTGCGTCCCCAACCGCCAAGGGCGAACCCTGTGTGCGAATTTCGAACCTATAGTTGGCCAAACCTAACCCTAATCAACAGAAATTATCCCTAGTTTGCAGTCACAAGCGATTATTTCCAGCAGTTGAAAACATCGGGAATTCACAGACGTTAGCCTAACGGCCAAACTACACAGTTATGCATTATCGGCCCCAGTCAAGGACATAAAACCGGAATGAGAGACAACCTTTTCCAATTTTTCACCTGAACCCAATTTTGGAAACTCTTTTCTTTCTGTTTCACACGTTTTCGGGGAAATTGTAAAAACTGGAGTTGACTAAAGGATGCAGGCCAGTAAATAGGCCAAAAACTGCTTGCGCGGGCCAAATCACAAATTGTATGCCCTCAAATTCTCTACGAAATAGAGCAACATTTGTGGCCCAGGAACTTGCTAAGTGAAGATTTGTAGAAAGGACATGTTTAAGCGGGCAAAGGGAATACCAGCTTGCGTCCGATGAGATTTGGAAGGAAAGAAATCGGTGCCTGAAAACGGGCCATCTTTCGAGAAGTGTGGGCGTCGATTTTGCAAAATGGCGAGCGGCTCTAAGACTGCTTTTTAGGGGGACCTTCGAAATCTGTAGAAATAAATATCTGCAGAAGTCATCGATTAATTAATGAATGGAAATTTGAAAAGAAAATAAAATATCTTAATGTGCCCTTTAATTTGACGTGCGTCTCAAACGCCTGAGAAACTCGTGAGCATTTTTCCTGATTTTTTGAAGTTCAGGTATCACTGTTGGCTATGGCACTTTTATACTTACTGGCCTGTAACCCCGTGGGTTGCACTATACCAAATACGCGCCCATAGAAAACAATGCAAAATCAGACCGAAATAGCGCCGCCTGGTGACTCTCAGGAAGAGGTTTCCCTCTTTTTTTCTCAGGAAATTCAAGATTATGGCCAGAAGATCACTTTTCGTTTCAATTATATGTTGGTTAGCCACTAAAATATATTTTTTTATTCGCCTTTCCCACGTGATACCCTCAAAATAGTAGTAAAACTATGCGCTCATCTCTGAATGTAGCCGCCCACCTCTATCCAAAATAGGCCCACAATTTGGGGCTTTTTGTGAAAGAAATACCCCCAACCGGACACGGTCAGTCCCAAACTTGGGATTTATAGAATAATTCTATGATTCCTCCTGTTTATTATGGCATGTCTTTTATATTAAGGGAGCTCGCGCGCAGAAACACAACCATTGGTAGAATGCATCCCGTGAGTTTTATGTACAGCGCCCTCCATTGTGTCAACCGGGTATTTTCCTTGGTACTTGTCCTCACGACCTGAGCTCTTTTCGTTTTGATTGTGCCTTGAGCCTGTTGAATACCAATTAAAACATGGCGTTGCCCATGGGTTAATCTGTCGATTTTGCCAACGTGTACTGTAAGAAAAGGCACCGGGTGGAATTCCTCTGCACTTTTGAGTTCGGAATAATTCAGAATGTATAAACTTGTACAGAAACAGACCTACACATTTTTGTCCCATCGACATGGGATGATTTTGATCTTCATCGGATTCATAATTGTTGTGATTTCTGTAATTCATTTTGGAGAGGTAAGTTTGGACGAGCAACTGCCAACTAGCATCATGCATGTCACGAGCATGACAGAAACAAAGAGTTCCATATGCCGTGCATATACGGACAACACTTGATGCCCCTGTGCACAAACTTATTGATAGTACGAGACTCGTCTAAAAAAAAACTGTCTGTTTTCTAAGTAAATACTTCAGAATTTTCTCAGCAAAATTTGTTGTAACATTTTAAGGGAAAATTATTTAGTGTTGTCTGTATGGTACTAATTGGTGTGTAGAAACTAGAACTCTTTCCAAGATGACTAAGTAAATGGCCCACATTGAAACACGGGTAAAAATGGAGACAACCAGCCTCAGGCATGTCAGGAAAGTCCGTGCTCACACCCTTTGCATAAACCAAATAACATGGTTCTAATACATCCTAGGCCATGTACATGTAGGCCAACGGCAGGCCTGCATACATGTACTTGTAGTTGTTGGCTAAGTGTTTTCAGTTAACATGTTTAAAGGTCCCTTTTGACTTTATGGATATTTTGCTGTTAGGCATAATCAGCTGATACGTGTATGCACGATCGCCTGATCACTCTACAATGGGCCAATCCTACACAAAATCTACAACTTTTGGCCTACATCATTACATGTACCTACTTTTCCCTTTTTCAAAACAATTTTGTTTAAATGTTAATTTGAAAGAAGAGCTAAAGAGATGGTTGGCTGATGGTAGAATCATCATGTGAAGAGGTTGATTCATCGGCCAAAGATCAAGCAATCGCACCTTATATCAACACTTCCCAATGGCCAACTAGTTAATTCAGGAAAGAAAATTAATGATGTCGTTTTGTGGAATTCTTCCTATTTTGTACGTCCCTGGTTTCAGTCTTCCTTGGAGTGGAGTCGAGATCAGTATTCGCAGCTGTTCAACATTTACCATGACAACATCGCTGGGAAAGCCTTCCAAAACAGGTGCCGTGCGTTACCTTACTGTGTTATTAAGCACCTGCCCCCAATAGGCTGATCCGGATAAAGCCCCGCCCACTGCGCTCATTGGTATAAATTTAACCAATACCACTGCATATGCACACATGTGGAGCAGAAATTATGGCTTTGATTGGTTAGAACACAGTGGGGCGGAGCTTAATGCATTGGTCTGTTGGGGGCGGGGGCTTAACATGTTTAAAGCAAGGAAGTGCTTGTTGAGAGAACAAAACTTTAAAAACCCTGGCCAAGTCAATGTTCTGCTTTGTATGATGGCACCCGTCAAACCACTCAAATTGGAGCCTTTACGGAAGGGCAATTCCTTGCTAATATCATCCCTACATGTAGGTTTATTACATGTGTTTTGCTTTCCACCGGAAACGATCTTGCTGGGCATTCTTGGGAAGTCAACGATGTTGGAAAAACAACCAACATTAACCCTTCTATGCTGAAGTCACTCTTTGGGTCATTTGGTAAACACCTCAAAGAAGCACAGCTGTGTCGTGTTGTGTACTGCACCAACTGTCCCTCACAGGAATATCAGATTGCATTTTTGTGCTGCCCACCAACTGTGCTTCACTGTGTCATGTGCATAACTGTGCAGTAAACCAAATGCAGTGAAGAGGACTGCACAAAAGACCCTGGGTCATTTTGTGCTGGCCATCAACTGTGCACACACTGAACCTGTGCATGTTTGAGTTCCATATAGAAACTACATGCTCACCAGTGACTGTGGGCATTTGTGCACATTTGTGCTGTAAAACCAAAGGAGGGTGTTAACAGACAGCAAGATAGAGTGGGTCCAAAAACCTGATATGAATTGACCCTAAACCAGTTTGGGTTTGTTAAAGTTACGCCCAGATGCTAACTGTCCCCTTGAACCCTTGTAGAATGTGCCTGCCTATCCCCATCGATGCGGTGTACACCTGGGTCAACGGGTCCGATCCCAAGCTGATCGCCGACCTCCAAAGAGTCAAAGAAAAACTTGAGAAAGATTCCAAGAAGTAAGTTGCTGTCCGTTTTGTTTTGTTTTTTTAATTGTCTTTTGTTTCTTTTTTTTTAAGTTGTTTTTGTTTGTTTGCTTATTTGTAATTTGAGAATTTGGTTCGGAAACACTTTTATATCTCAAGGAAGCAGACGAACTTTTAGCCTAACTGGGCTAAATTTACCAATTGCTCTGTGATTTTACACACACCTTAGGGAGTTAGGGCTAGGGAAGTAAACATTTGGCATAATCTCATCCGTCAGAACCGGGCGGGTTCAGTGTGTAAACAAGTGCAAAATGTTTGGGAAAAAAAGGTTACTGTAGTCTGCAGTTTCAGAGTCCACTATTAACCTGGCAGCATGATTGTTTTGCCATGCAGTAAGTTAAAGCAAATTTAAGCGCTCAGCAGAAATAGCAGAAAACCAGCCGCAAGGTGGCTATAAAGTATATGTGATTGAGGGCGACGACCAGTTCTGCCAAGCAAATGTTTTCTGTGCTTAGCCAAATCTTGGTGCCTATAGCTATATGAAATGGAGGCCAGCAGAGGTACGTGCAGGGTTTCACACTGGATCCGAAAATTTGCTCATTCTCTCCCTGAAAATTTTTAAAAATTGCCTGTCCCCTCTGGGAGGTGTGGAACTGATACTCCCCTTGATGCAACACATTCCAGAGCCCATTTTCTTTGTACCCAATGCTCTGAATGGAAAGGTCCATGTTGGAAACGGGGGTTGTAAATTTGTACAAGCAAAAAAACCTACATGTACATGTATTGTATACATGTATATCATACTTGTCCCTCCTTTGGTGGCAAGGTGAGACACTGGTCACGTGAAGTATTTACTCGTTGTATTACTACTCAACTGGACACATTTCCAGCTGGGCCTGGTGTCATAGAGCAGAGTTTGCGTGCCGAGAGACCGCCAAAATCATCTGGGAAACCAATCGCAGGGGATACGTGTAGATATACCTGACAAAATCGCTGGCAAGGGAGCCAGCAAGTCGGGCGTCAGGTTTGAGCAGCACTTGCCTCTCTAATGAGTTTTGCAGCTTTTGCCGTGTCCCGAGTACTTTACAACCTGTTCTGATTATGTATCACACATGTGCATCAAGGTGGAGGCTACATTGGACTGAGAGTTTGAGACCAGAGAGCAATTTCTGTTTTGATCTGACAGATTCATCTCCTACGCGTATGTCACAAACCGACAGGGAAATTTTGTTCCATCTCGTTTTGACTGCAGGAGGGAATAATGAGAATATACCAGTAAAGTGTTCAACCTGTTTCTTTCAAACTACTCACTTGGTAGTTCTGAAAAAAAGAGTAAAATGTTTTTCGATGTTAAAACACTTTCCAGAAATTTGTAATCATGGAGAAAATACTGTTTAAGGGGCAAACCGAAATCACTGTGTTTCACATCATACACTGTGTGACGTATGTGACACTGTGTGACGTATGTGACACTGTGTGACGCATGTGACACTGTGTGACGCATGTGACACTGTGTGACGCATGTGACACTGTGTGACGCATGTGACACTGTGTGACACGTGACGGTGTGTGACGCATGTGACACTGTGTGACACATGTGACACAGTGTGACACATGTGACAGTGTGTGACGTATGTTTTCACTTCACTTTTGTGCTTACTGCTACAGTTCTTATGGTAGCTGATGAACTGTCAGCTCACTTGAAAGAGGATTTTTATGGTGTATTCTGAAAGTTTATGCAATGCAGAACCTTTGTGAATGCACTTTTGTATCGCAGGTAACTTTGTATCCTATTTTTGTTTTACTATTTTAAAGGGTTTTCCTTTTGGGTTTAATCATAAATAAGTAATTCATTAATTATTTTCATATTTATGTGAAAAAATGTGACATCTTCCCAAGAAAAATATGCATAATATTTGCATTGTCTTGTGCACAAAAATGTGCTGATATTTTTTGCTGTTTGCTGACTTATAAATGTCTTTTTCTATGGTGATTCATATTGTGTACATGTACCTCTACATATGAGAACAGTGTCTGCCCTGATTGACATTGGAACAGCGCCCTCAGTTGTCCAGAAAAGCTTGGACAATTTTAAATCTTTCAAAAAGTACACTTTGTATACAATTGCACAAAAAAAAAATTGCGTAAAGGCCGGTTCCTACCTGGCACGAAAGCCAATGCGAATTTGTGACATTGGATCAAAATAATGTTCGCATTTCAAATTTCATAAAAGTTGAACACGTTTCAACTCGAGCGAAATGTCACCTCAAAGTTGTCGTGACGCCAAAGTTGTTTCGCTTTCGCTTTCACCTGAAGTATAACCGGCCTAAAGAAAAGTTTGTCATCGGAACCCTTCGAAACAGGGACAGTGAGGAAGAGGAGAAGAAGCTCATTCAATGCAAAGATGACAACTGTGTCCCCGGGCCGTTGATCGTCTTCAGCGCGGTGTTGCCAGGCAGCCCGCAGACTGAAGAGTTGGCCAGGAGCCACATCGCGTTTCTCCAGCAAGACAGGGCGTTCAATTTGACCAAGTCGGGCCGGGAGAACATGACGGTGGCTCAGTTTGAAAAGCAGTCTGTGGGTGAGTCGTCGAAGAGGAGGTGTTTGTTTGTTTGTCCGTAGATCAGTTTGTATGGATTTGATTATTCTCATTATTTTCTATTCGGCTGGGTGGTAAATGCGAATGGATGCCGCAAAATGAGTCTCAAGACTGGACGATTCCTTAAGCATGCTTTACTGGATGGCAGCATGGCGCTGGCTGGTTCAAATACTGTACCTGAATTGCCAATGTATAGACCTATGTATAAGTTCCTACCTGGTCAACAAACTACACGAACGGTTGGGGCAAAATGTCTACATACCTGTACTCTTGTTAGAAAGCGGTTTCCTCCATTTTTTGCCGTTTGAAATAGTTTTGTCAACTTTTTCTTTATGAGGTCGGACAAATTGTATCTCAACTTAATTTTCAATTGAAAATACTCAGAGGCATTTATTTGGGTTCAAAATATTAATATTGCATTGAGTGAAAATTTACAATTACCCCCTACATGTAAGACAGGAAGGGGCACTTTAATAGAATTAGGTTTGGAATATGTAAAATTTTGTGGGTTTTTTTGTAAATATAAATATGAATCATATACATGTCTCTGGGAGATTTTATTTGATGCTTATATCATGTACATTAAGTAGAGACCCATCTTGTCCGTCCTCATGAAAAGAAAAGTTGGTAGGAATGGGTGAAGTTGTGAAATTTGAGGAAACCTGTTTTTGTTCTCCCAGGTGTATGTAAACATTTTGCCCCAACTGTAAAGGGCTGATGTGTTGGCCAGGTTACTGAGCTGGTGCACAGCTAGGCAATGTTCCTGGCTGTCTTGACGACTGGTTTGGAGTTTGATTCTTTGATTTTATTTCCTGTTTTCCTCTTCTTCCGGCAGTTGACGTCATCATGAAAGAGAAGCCTTTTGTTATGTACAAAGGAAGAAATATCTCCCTCTCAAGAGGGTTCCTTGTAAGTAGCAACTTCTTGCCGATGTGTTTTTTCAGGTGAAAAGTTAGACTCTTAAATAAGGCAACATAGTGATGCACTGCTCACTTGCGGAGTCGTCGTACAGCAACCTCATCTTTTTTAACCCTTGAGAGCGTGCCCACAAAATGGTAGTGGCTTCCACTCCCGAAGTTTATGTGGACTTTAATAAACATGAGCTTTTTTGATTAAAAGAACTATATTTTAGAAATGTTCAGATGACTATTGAAGGCAAACTTGTTTACTTTTTTCTCTCTTTAATATTAAGGTAACCGTTAACATATAATGTGTTTTCCACGGGGGCCAAGTACAAAATCATTACCATCACGAAAGAATAATTTTATGGAATGATCCAAAATTTTAAGGAGGGGATAGCCATGGGTAACCAGCGACAACTTCTATTTTGGTTTGGCCGTACACAGACGAGTGACTGGCGTGCAGAGGGGGGTGTGGAGCTGAAGGACATGGCCTTCGTCTCCAACATCGGCAAGAACGTGACGGAGGAGCAGCTGCAGCGGAAGATCCCTGAGGACCAGCGGGAGAACGTGAGGCACATCGACCTGACGTCCAGCGCCGGGGTGGCGGTCATCACGCTGAAGACGGCTGAGGTCACCAGGGTGTTCATCACGGAGGTGAGACAAAGTTGCGTTTCTGTACCCATAGTTTGCAGTTCCTGTAACGAGCTCACTTCAGGAACTTCATCAATTAAACCCAAGTCCTGCAGAGGGTTTGCATGGCTGCCATCTTGCAGGCCAATGTGTTTGTTCCACAGGAAATGCACAAATCAGGTTTTGTCTGGAACCAAAGAACTGCCCTGCAAAATGGCTACAAAGCAAAGCTTCTGTATAACACCAGGGCCTTCTTTTCTCGGCGTCATTTCCATCTTCAGCTCCATCTCAAGTCCAAAACCAGTTTGAACCATTTACCTTTGAAACAAAATTAATGTTTGTCCAACCTGGGTATTGTATTCGACAAGTGGATACTTCTTTGGCAGAGAAACAGATGTGCATTTAGCTGGTTAGTAAACAGTGGGAGAAAACTTAAAGTCTGAAGCCCAAGCCGGAAAAAAGCAGATCTTTCTTCTTGCTGTTGTCGTCTTCATTCAGTTTGAGAAAAGCGAAGGAGAGAATGGGATGAAGGTAGGCCCCGCCTACCTCCTGTGGGGTTTGGAGAAGGACACAGACCACGAGGAAGACATCTCCAAGAGCCGATTTGAAGACAATGAGGTAGGAATGGTTGTCTGGAAGTTAGGGAGGCAGTAACGCTACCTGTACCAAGGAAACTAACGAGAGGGCCGATTCCATTCTTGCCTTGAGCTAGTGCAGAAGACTTTCCCCGTCACCTGCTGATTATTACTGGGGTGCAGTTATTTTCATGGTGTGTCCAGATTTCAGGATTTCTATACCAAGTGATTCCAGATACATATGTAGAGGTTTTATGATTGCTCATTGTACTGAAAAACCAAGCGTAAGATTTTCATAGTCGTGGCCATTTGTTATTTATTTTTGGTTTATATCTGTTCATCCAACTTTACATTTAGCAGGAATTACAGGATGAAGTGATAGTTAAGACAAAAAGAAACCCTGGATGAATATTCCAGGGAAAACCCACAGAGTCAGGCAGGGACTGAAAACCCAATTCACATACTGACCAAGGTGGGATTCGAACCCAGGTCGCAGAGGTGGAAGGCGGGGAAAGAGCCACTACACCAACCTGACTCCCCAGAGTCAGAACTCAAGCCTTTCTAGCTTTCTCACCATCTCTCAATCTGACCCCTCGTGTCATTTTAATATTTTAAAAACAAGGTTACATTTTAAAAGCTGTCATGACATTCATTTTGGTTGTTTTGACGCACATACAGGAAATGAGGTACTCGTTACGGTCGCTGGAGCAGAACGCGCCCTGGATACGGCACGTGTACATCGTCACCAACGGCCAAATCCCATCCTGGCTGAACCTGGACAACCCACGCATCACGCTGATCACCCACGAGGTGAGAGAGACAGGCTGGTCGCTGCAACAGTTGTTGCCATGGAAATGGCAGACGATGCTAATGAGTTTATTTGTACTTTGTGTCTCTTAGAAACTGGAAAATTCAGTTTCCAAAATCAGTTTGGTGTTACATCAGCTTTTGATATTACCACTTATTGGAGTATGGTTTTTAAACAGTGTCAATTTCCTTAGATAGGGTGCTTTAGTATGCAAAACAAAATGTCCAATTCCAGACCCTCAGAACTCAGGTTCAAAGCCACCTGAACTCCTCTGTTACACTCTTTCTCTTTTGGAACTCTTTTAAAAATTCTCCACCGTTGTAGGAAAGCATAGGCACATTTGTTGCACTTCAGAACTTTGTGAGAGACACTGATTTCCCTCTTACTTGACAACAAACCGGGTTCTTCCTTCTTAACCCTTCTATGCTGAAGTCACTCTTTGGGTCATTTGGTAAACACCTCAAAGAAGCACAGCTGTGTGGTGTTGTGCACTGCACCAACTGTCCCTCACAGGAATATCAGATTGCACTTGTGTGCTGCCCACCAACTGTGCTTCACTGTTTCATGTGCATAATGGTGCAGTAAACCAAATGCAGTGAAGAGGACTGCACAAAAGACCCTGGGTCATTTTGTGCTGGCAACTAACTGTGCACACACTGAACCTGTGCATGTTTGAGTTCCATATAGAAACTGCATGCTCACCAGTGACTGTGGGCACTCGTGCACATTTGTGCTGTAAAACCATAGGAGGGTTAACCCAATTAAAACCCGTCCAAAACTTGAAGTACTCTGAGGAAACTGGGAATGTTTGGCAGGGTTTCATCAGGAAGAAACACAGGGCCTACAATCTTTCAAGATAGTTATCGTTACTATGAATATTAAACACTTTGCATTTCCAAGGACATTTTCCCGAACAAGAGCCACCTGCCCACGTTCAGCTCCCCGGCCATCGAGAGCCACCTGCACCTCATACCAGGCCTGTCGGACAAGTTCATCTATCTCAATGACGACACTATGTTTGGCGTGCCAGTCTGGCCGGACGACTTCTACACCCACTCGCAGGGACAGAAGGTAAGGAACCAGACTTCAACCCTCAAAAGGGACCCATTTGTACCCCTGGGTGGAGAGAGGCAAGTAGGGATAATAGTGACTTGCCCAAGGTCACAAAAAAGGTAACAGCTGCTGGATTTGAATCCCCCACCTTATGGTCAGGGGTCAGGAACCCTTTTACAAAACCATATATCCTGTAGTTAGGAGTTTGCATGTAAATTATGCCCCAACAAAGACACTGTCAGTTCAAATGATTGTTCCACCATTGGCTGGAAAGTTCACTTGATGAAGCACCGACGCTGTATTCTGTAGGTCAGAGATTCGATTCCCACACCAGTCAGTTTCCTTTCTTCAAACAAGAAAGAAACAAGTTTTAACACGACAAATAGGCTACCAGATGAATCATACCATGAACAAACTTTTTTAATCATGTATCTACGATGTCACCCACATCAGGTCTACCTGACCTGGCCTGTTCCAAATTGCGCCGAGGGGTGTCCACCGTCCTGGATCCGAGACAATTACTGCGACACAGCCTGCAACAACTCGGAATGTGATTGGGACGGTGGGGACTGCGACGGTGAGAATTGAATGTTTATGTTTATCTTGATTGAGACATAACACCTTTAACCTCAATCCAAACAAGAAATCTATGTTTCTGTTTTTGTCGCCAATGTAGCAAGTTCTAAAATTAAAACTTGTTAGATAAAGGAAAGATAACACTCTCAACCCCTGTAAGTAATTTATGTTAGACGTTTTTTTTTATTCTTTGAAATGTATGTTTTGGTTTATGCCAACAGCAACCAACACACCAACAATTTTTGGCCTGTTGGCAACAGTGCCAGAGATTTGTTCGGGACATACCACACAGCCCTCACACAGCCTTAAATTTCTAATCAAAGAAAGTTGTACCTTAATACAATCTGGTGTCACCCCTATTGTACATGTAGGCGTGAGCAAACCGGGGCCGGTGGGAGGTGGCGTTGGAGGCGACGTTGCGCGTGATACACCAGACCGTGAGTACACTGACAACTTTTCCTTGCTTCCTCCTAGGTTCGTTTCAAACTTTCCTTGTCTGTCATTCCAGATTTGGAAAAAGGGCTTGAAATGTCCTCTTGGCATCTCCATGAATACTATTATGTGGCCAAAGTGGGATGGAAAACTATGCTAAGTGAGATTATGCTAGTGAGCAACAAAGCGAAAAACCCATCGGAATATGGTTTGACTAGCCAGTTGCCTGTTTCGGCGATGCAGAAGTTTTCCTTGCCGAGCAAATGTTCTGAACCGTCACAAGTCTCAGTTAGCACCAGCCATCAGGGAAATGTCACTTAACGTGAAAATTTGTTAAACGAAGTGATGTCTGTCGTTCACTTCTGGTGCACTTTTTGTCTTCTACTTTGAAGATCCGGATTTTGAAAGTGAACGTGGAAAATGTTTGCACTCATAAATGTGTATGCATGTCACATGAGTAGGAAGATGTTTTTTCTTTTTGGATCCTACAGTGTACTGCAACCCAGGATGTGCCAACAGCTGGATTGCTGACCGCTACTGTGACCAGGTCAGTCTGGGGCATCTCTGCCCACCTCATGGGTCAAATCACACCGTCACCGGCATTTACTTCACACGTCCATTCCCCGTATCCCCTATTTCTGCCCCCGTGCCATGCCTCTTTTCTTGCCTTTGCCCTGCCTCATAGCCAGCTCTCCCTTCCTCTCCCTGCATCTGCCCACGCCCCCGTCCCCACCCTCCACATCATTTAAGAAACACTTCACAAAGTGTAATCACAGGGGTTTCAAGATGAACCGGGAGGCGCAAATTATGTCTCTGCATGTTTTACTTACTTTATCATTGTATCCAAGGGCTAAAAAAGAGATTTTTACATTGGAATTAACCGTAACCCCCAGCCTACTTTGGCTAGAAACCCTGTCTGACACATCAGTCTGCATCATGTGTAAAAGTGGCTTGCCTGCCTAGTGTAACAAGAACCAACAGGTCAACTGTCCCCAAGGCCAAACAACGTGGGAGTCTGTGGTTGCCAGTCACCACAAGATCCAACTGCGGCATTGTTCAATGAGACCAGCTCCCATTGTCTCAACATGGCCAGTTTGTTTGGTTGCTGTTGATTGCCCAAGTGCATCAAAGTGCATCAGATGTTTTCACCCCGATGCGCTGCGCTGTGTCTGGCAGCGTCAGGGTTAACCCCTTCACGGCGGGATTATTTTGACCGGGACTGCTGGGCTGTGGTATGCCCTGAATGGAGGGCTTTGTCCAGCAGCAGGCCCCATTGAACCAGCAGCTGCATGGTGAATAGACTGTATGCGTGGTATGCACTAATCCTCACACAATGGTGCGGTAGTAGCAGTCTCCGTAGCGAAGGGGTTAAGATGGCAGACTAGTCAAACCATTTGCTGGCAAAAAAATGTAGGAAGCCAATACGAGCGTTTGGAATTGGTGTTTGTTGCAGACTTGTAATGTTGCCAAGTGTGGCTTTGACGCCGGCGACTGTGGCGTGGACAACTTTCCCCACCTGTTTGGAGTGGACATCAAGGGACCGGTGAACATCACAATACCCAAAGGTTAGTGGGCACCAGTTACCTTGCAACGTTGGACTATAGCAACTTTTCACCAGAGGACGTGTGGACTTTACTGTGTCCTGAATATCTGACTGATATTTGAACTCGCTAATCCTCCATTTGTTTAGTATACAAACACACACAATGTCCAAGAATTCTTGGTCAAGAAATTGTGCTCTGCTTGGCCTGTTTTGGGAGCGAATACCATTCTGTAGGCATGCCCAGGAGTGTCGTAACAGACGATGTTGATTGTAGTAATATTGGTCCAATTATTCGTGCCTCTTTGGAAAGTTGAAATTTTCATTCCAAAATAACTCTCCACAAGTGCTTTGCCCCCAAATTAAAGGTGTCGCAGTGTGATCTTGTCATGTTGTGCTTTTTTGAGGTACCTTCCAATCCTTTAAAACCTCAAAGGTCCCTCGGGCGAGTCGGGATGGTGAAGTGGCTCTTTTCTCGCTTTCCATGTCTGCGACCCAAGTTAGAATCCCACCTAGATCAGCATGTGGATTGGGTTTTCAGTCCCTGCCTGACTCTGTGTGTTTTCCCTGAAATTTAGAGTTTTCCTCCCACCTCTAAAATTGAACATTTCTTCACTGTCGCCTTAATTCTCACTTCAACCTGCAATCGGCAATAAATGTGCTGTTGGATGATCAGATAAAAAGGTCTGAAACTGCATGTTTAATTTTGCGTGCTTCCCTCACAGGCGTCACAGCCTTCTTCCTCAACCTGACGGTTGTCTTTGACACCAACTCCTCCATCACCGAGGCCCAGTACGACGACCACAAGATTGTCCGGACGGCCACCGTGGCCCAGAAGTACAAGCTGATCACGGTGCTGCTCCACGAAAACGTGTCGGACACACTGATCGGCGTCAACGTCAGCGGCAGAAGGAACGACGACACCCTACTCAGCGTGAGTATCCCCAGAAACGGGAAATAATGTGTTTAAAGACTTCCAGAAGAGTGATGAAGAAATTTTGAACCTGACACAAATGCCCGGAGGATTGTGTGTGATTTTTGATTTTTGGAAGAACAACAGAAAGATTCTGATGTAGGCTGTTGCCATCGTAAGAATTTCTTTTGGGCGGGTATTTAGTTAACTCACACAAGTGTGTATTTGCCTGCAACTGGGGACCCCCTATTGTTCCTCTTTTGTTTGTACTCTAACTTTTTTAGAAGGCCACCCATATGTTTTGTACACAGTTGTCAATCGGGGACCCTCTGTCAATCGGGGATCTTATTGTCCTCTATTGTTCGGGGTCCCCAATTGAATGCAGAAACACCCACATAGGCACTGATCCAACACGGGGTGGGGGGGGGTCAAAGAATGTAACGTGTCTGTCTGTAAACATTGAACATAAAGAGTCTAACGAGTCTGACTCCTCCCCCAGAGAAAATCCTACATCCGCCCCCGGCTTAAGATGCCACAGTTTTTAAGAGACAGTTTCAGTCGAGAAATCCACATTGAAAGGATATTGTTTGTATGATTTCAGTCCTCAACCTTTTCATTGGTCAAGCATAATCCTGTCACTGACTGACTCTTAGAATGAATGCTGTAGCTGATTGGCTTTTGTCACTGGATGCCAGCAGTTGGTGTCCAATTACAGACCTTGTTACTCTGGTTTGCTGGTTCAGAATGAAACATAGTACGTGATTGGCCTTCGTCACTTTTTGCCAACTATTCTCTCCATTGACAGTCCCTAAAATTGTGATTAGCTAAATTGGAATGAAATGATGTCTGTGATTGGCCTCTGTGGTACACTGCCAGCTTTTCTGTCCAATGGCAGGCCATGTTAAAAGTTTAGACCTTTTCTGCTCATTCCCAGGTGTCATTCAACATGACTGTCAACTCCATCCCTGTTACCGAGAAGGCACTGACAGTAGTCAAGGAAGGGGAAGAAAAGACAGTCACAGAGAAGGAGGATGAGATGTCAAAGGTCGTGTTTCATGACATTCCTGAGCATGACAGGTCAGTAAAAAATCAAGCCCTCTCTTGACAAAAACATTTCTTGCTCTCATTTTGGCTAATAGGAAATCAGTGTGCTCATAGGCGTAATTTTTTAAATTAGTTTTTTCAAGTTAAATCGTATTTTAATTGATCAATGTTTCACAACACTTCAATGCATTTTTACTCTAAGCCTTAAAGGCGCACTTTTTACCACAGATTTTTTTCCATGGAATTCTTTCAAAGGACATTACCCACATTATTGTGCTGTTCTCTTTCCAGGGGGCCCCAGATTCACCTGAATGCCAACAAGCCGGCTGTAGAAATGCCAGCCATTGATCTAGAATCCCTCAGTGAAGAAATCGCCTTGAAACTAGCCGAGCTGAACAAAAAATTTTCAGACGGTAGGAATCCCAGCTGCATGCAAAAAAATTTGAATTTGAAAATAATTTTCCATTAAAAAGAGACTACTTATTGGTTTTAAAGCTTGACATCTAAAGCGCACAATTTGTATCTTTGAAATATTACTGGTAAGTTTCCTCATTTCTTTCAAAATTCTTCCTAAAGGGGACATCACTGAGAAAGGACACAAGAAATACAAAGCTCAGATTCTTCAAGAATATATACAGTCTCCAGAGTATGCCAACAGAGTTGCTGGAAAACCAGAAACCATCAAAGAAACTGGTGTACACCATCAGGAAGGGGACTTTCAGGAAGTTTTGCAAAACGCCAATGGGAAATCTCTGCCCAAGCCTGGAGTTGCAAAAAGTGGGGGAGAGGAAAGCATTGATGGGTTTAAGAGGTTGAAGTTCAGGCACATCGTGCCTAAGCCAGGGGGACAGGATGCAGTGGAGCTTGGAGAGAAGAGGGAGGCAGAACTTCCAGGAGGGAACGTTAGGGACAAAAATGTGGACCAAAAGGACGAGATGTTGATGAAGAAGTTTGATGTGAACCTCCAGCAACTTGATCTCCAGCAGCCTTTTATGCAACAACAGTTGCAACCATCAGTTCAAAAGCAACAGCGATCTATGCAACAGCAGCAGCCAGTTGTGCAACAGCAACAGCCAAACTTGCAAAAACAGCCACTGGCGCAACAGCAACCAGGCCTACAGCAGGAGCAGCTTGTGCAACAGCAGCACCAACTAGGCCTACAACAGCAACCAATTATGCAACAACAGGACAAGCCCCTTGTGCAACAGCAGCAGCCATTTGTGCAACAGCAAATGCACCAGCAGCCAGGTCTACAACAGCAGCCGCTTGCACAACAGCAGCAGCCATTTGTGCAATGGCAGCAGCCAGGTCTACAACAGCAGCAGCCAGGTATACAGCAGCAGCCACCTGTACAACAGCAACCAGACCTACAGCAGCAGCCACTTATGCAGCAACAGGACAAACCATTTGTCCAACAACAGCAGCCAGGTCTACAGCTGCAGCAGCCAGGCCTACAGCAGCAACCACTTATGCAACAACCGGGCAAACCATTTGTCCAACAACAGCAACCAGGTCTACAGCTGCAGCAGCCAGGTCTACAGCAGCAGCCACTTATGCAACAACAGGACAAGCCCCTTGTGCAACAGAAGCAGCCACTTGTGCAACAGCAGCAGCAGCCAGTTATACAACAGCAGCCACTTGCACAACAGAAACTACCGCAGCCAAAAAGCCAGTCTCAACCACTGGATCAGCAGCAGCACCACAATGGTCAACAGCAGCAGCCTTACCTTAAGCAGCAGCCACGAATCCAACAACCAGAAATCAATCCACAACAGCAACAGGTAAATGCCCAGCAATTTCCACAGGAACAGCAACTGCCTGATCTAAAGCAGCAACCGCAGCAAGTTGGCATTCAACAGCAGCCATTAAACCGGCAACAGCCATTTGCCGAAGAGCAGAAGCAGCATCTGGGCCTGCAGAGGTTGCAGCAACAGCAACTGGGTGATTCGGAGGACTCCAAATTTGTTGGAGCTGGTGGAGGTGAAGTCCAGCCCAAGCAGGCAGCCATGGATCATCTGAATTACCATGACAACAAAAGGGAGGTGGCCAATCAGGAAGCTGGTGGCGATCCGTTAGGTGCGCGCATCAACCCGCGCCGGCCGCCTAATATTAACAACCTCCAACCAGTCCTGTTTAACAGGAAGCCACCACAGCAGGCCGGATGGAACCAGATTGGGCAAGCTGAACAACATGGTCCCCAGAACTGGCGAGAACCAATCCTGATCAACCAGGAACCTGTCGCCCACAATAGAAAGAAACAGCGGGGGGACCAGGGAATCCCAGCAGACAGAAACCAGCCACTTGGTGCTGGGAACCAACTGCCTTTGTCTCAGGACAGAGTGAATCCATTGGCGTTAAACAGGCCAGCCCAGCAATTACCAGCAGATGAAAAGTTCCAGCTTCCAGAGACACGGTTGCAGAAACAAGAAGGTGCTGTCAAGGAGGCTGCACAGCAGGATGTTGGCAAACGCACTGGATTAAACCAGCCTAATTCGGATCCTGCCAAATTGGACCAAGGACAAGGGAACATGGCACCGCTCCAGCCAAATCTGGTCCCAAAAGATGAAGAGCAAAAGAGGATCGTGGGTGACGATATTCCTAAAAAGAAATTCTACAAAGGCAGGAGGAAAGAAACTGGAAGAAAGTTTATCCCTCAACATGAGGACAACATTCTCCATCAACGGAAACTGCTTTCAGTTGGAAATTACCAACCTGATATAGATCAACACAATGAAAACAGACCCTTCCTTAAAGAATCTCCGTATTTAAACATAGCACATTTTTTCAGTGCAGCGTTATCAAATTTAACATCTTCAAGACTCCAAAATTCTCAGGGAGAACCGCAGAAGAACAGGGTGCATCTTGGGATAGGACAAAAGCATCCTGGGAAACAGTTTGTTGAAATGAGAGATAATGCAGCAGACAGGGACAGAATTTATAAGAAATCAGATATAACAGTCGGCAGAGGCACCAGACTTAAAAAGCATGAGAGAGGTGCAGTCGCCGTGACGATGGATGATGTCACAGATGAAGAGGCGGAGCAGCTGGTAGAGGATGCTGATCAGTACCTGAGGAAGACCAGCTTTCTGCCTTGGGAGAGAAAAGAAGCTCATCAGGTGAGAGAGTACTGTTTTTCTGATACTGCTGAAAGTTCCGATTCTTACCTGAAGTGTGGGCTCATTCAGTGGCCCTAGTAAAAGTCAACCATTCAGCATGTAATGCTTTGTGCCCAATATAGCATGTTGGTGTGTCTCTCGCGTGTGGTGCACAGTGTTTTTATCAATAAGGGCTTTGAGTGGTAGCCATCTTGCAGGGCAGTCGTTTTGTTCCTCAGGAAAATCTCCTTTGTGCATACCTTGTGGAACAAAAGAGCTGGCCTGCAAGATGGCAGCCTTGCAAGCCTTCTATTCTGCAAATCTGATTTCATCGGTGTTTATTTTGACCAATTAACCTCTGAAGTTGAAATGGTTGCTACGGAAAGACAGTGGTAGCCAGGATAAGGTGGAGTCTCAAAAAATTGCAATTGATTACTTGCAGACCAAGTGAAAAATGTATAGAAGCTTTCTACCACAACTGTATGCGAGTAGATTATCGTCTCAATGAGTATGGCAATATTTATACTAGGAAAAACGGAAGAAGTCAGACTACCAGACCACAAGCTACAGAAGTCGGAAGCCGTTGGATACATTTGCCGACTCGCTGATCCACGTCAACAGGATCTACAACAAGCGATTCGGCTTCATTGCGCGGAAGGTGCCAGGCCACATCCCTCACATGATTGACATCAATATCATGAAGGAACTACAAGCTGAGTGAGTTGGGAGTGACTGTGTGGTCTTTTCTCTCCCTTATTTCTTGAGCGCACCTGTTGTAAACTCTGTTAAATCCAAACAACACAGAATGGCCAAGTACTCGCAAATAGCTTATCGTTTATGGAATTTGGCCGTCAACTCAAGTTGCAGGGAACACTAACAGTGCGTTGCCAATGAGTTTGTGCCGTGGATTGCACAGTGCTTCAGACTACAGTGTTGTTGCAGTTGGTTACAGTTTGTTGCATTTTGTTGCAGTCAGTGGGGCTCTTGTCTCAGCTGTGCTAGATTTGGTTGCATTCAGCAGGGTCGCCTTTTTAACAGTGTTGGATTTTGTTGCATTTGTTACAACAGGGTGCTACAGGCATGCAACTGTTCCTCGGATCAGCGGATTTCCTTGTTTTTCACTACCCACTCATACCACAAAAAGCTGAAAACACTGTACGAAGTCCTATAAAGGCCATGAATTTCCTCATTTTTTGGGTCCAAGTCCAAGTTGCATGCCTGGCGCTAGGGGAACACCTGCTGGGGCAAGAGTAAAAGTAGATTTGCAAAAACCAGTCTTACAGAGGATTTTGTTTCTAGACAGAATTAAATTTCCCAGCAATACAAAGATTTTTAAAAATTTTTTGTGCAGATTTCCTGACGAGTTTGATGCGACCTCGTCCCATCAGATCCGCCACTCCAAAGACATGCAGTTTGCTTTCTCCTACATGTACTACGTCATTGGGTCGCCAAAGGAGGTGAACACCAACGAGATCTTTGACGAGTTTGACACCGATCACTCGGGGTACGTTGTCCGTGTTTCTTGTGTTTGTCTGCTAAAATTGTTCCATTGTCACAGGTTGGGTAATTGAACTAGAGAGCAAGCAATTTTTATAAGCATCCGATATCTGCAGTCATTCCTCATCCGAGATCAACTTTGATCCGTCTTTTTGGTTTCAGGGTTCTGTCAGACAGGGAAATCCGAACCCTAGCCACGAGGTTGTTTGAGCTTCCCCTGGACTTGCAGACGCTAAGTTCCCTGGAGAACAACTTCATCCAGTGTGCCAAGAACCTGTCCCGGGAGGTGTACGAAGACCCCAGCCTCACCCAGGAGAAGTACTATGAAGAGAAGATGGTCAGTCCATCAGAAGTTGATACTGGGCTTAGAAGTGTCTGGCCTTCTGGGGAATGTGTTGCCAAGTGGTTGGGGGATGTCACTTTTGACAGTGGCGTCGGGGTTCATGTACACAGCTGTTGGCTGTACGTTGTGTTCTTGAGCAAGCTAGTTTTCCCCCTTCAAGCAGCACAGATTTGTAACAGTTTTAGCCAGGGAGTAATGGGGGGGGGGAGAATATTGTCTGTCAGTTCATGTTACTGACATCAGAGAATAAACACCGCCCTGATGGCCACATTGGCTTGCGGTAGAGGCCACCTCATCTCACTGACTGGCTGGTTAGTTAACTGAGAAGTTTGTGTGGTTTGATTGCTGTTTGACTACTAAGAGCAAGCTGCAGTCATTTTTTCTTTTAATTTTTGTATTTTGCAGCCGCAAGTCACCAAGGCCCTAGTGGCCAAGTGCTCGGCAGTGACTGACCTAATGCAGAAAAGTGTCAAAGGTCAAACTAATTACAAGTAAGTGTGACAGATTGACGTTTTTTTATATTGGAGACGATCTTGTTTCAACTGGTGTTAGGTTGGTTGACTTCCAATTTTAAGTGCTGTACACTTTTCATGTCAGCACCTTTCAATTTTTGAAACTTCCATGTGGATCATAATTGCAGGTACGAAATCCTCGGTGATGAAGATATAGCTTTCAAGATGATTCGAACCAATGTATCACAGGTCATAGGTCAACTGGATGACATCAGGAAGAACCCCAAGTAAGTTGACAAAATAATAAGTCAAATTTGCAAGTCTTCTGTCAACAAGTTGAATTCAGAACAGTTGATCTCTCTGCAGGTATTTGATAAGACGTTTGCCTCCAAAAATCTACAGTTTAGTCTTCAACATCTTCGTCTTTGCACAGAATTAGGTTTAGAGGACAAAAAAGACTGACATTTTGGAAGAAACTACCCACAAAGGGCTGGTTGGCTTAGTTGAGCATTAGTATGGTGCTCTGGACGTCTGGGGTTCGAATCCAACTCCAGGCAATTTATGTTCTCATCTCTATAATTGTTACATCAGTAGCCTTGTCAGTTTTCCTGTTTGAATCAGGTTTAAACAAACTGTTGCAATCAGTATTTCTTCTCCTCTGCTCAAGAAAATTTGTCTGCCTAAATGACAACATCGACCACGCCAGTCCCGAAGCGTACATGGTGAAAGCAGTGTTACAGGACTTCTATGAAGCGCTGTTCCCAATCGTCTCACAGTTTGAGCTCCCGCGAGAGTACAGAAATCGGTTTTTACACGTTGACGAGCTTCGAGAATGGTAAGGTCACTGTAGATCCGTACAAACCAAGCCTTACAGGCATACATGTGCAGAGGAATCAGTCCTTTCCAAGTTAATTCCAGAACACCTGGTCAATTGCACAATTTTTCCCTGGTAACCATTTGCACAAACAGTGGCCAGGTATCAGGCGAAATTGACCAGTGTTTAACCAATTGTCGATGATCAAATTTGGCTTTGACTGCTCCAAAGCTCACCAAACAGACTTTGAATACAATAGAATTGAACTTAGAAAGGTCCTTTTGACATTTCTTTTCTTGGACAGGAGACGATATCGCGACTGGCTAAGATTCTGGACCCAACTCTCCTTGCTTGCGTTGATTGCTTTTAGCATAGCCTCGTTTTGCTCACGCCAGGTATGTTGAACTTTCTTGATTTTGTTGTGAGACACACAAGTGACTGGTGGACTTAAGTCTAATTTTTGATAAACTCAGTGGGACCTGGGAGCTTGTGTGAAAGACTCAAGCTTTCCAACATGGGACTTGAAATCCATGACCTACTTGCTAACTCTGATATCTCACCATTTGTTGAGGAAACTTTTGAAACATGCCATAAAATGACACAAAGATCCCAAATTGCTGCACTGTGTTTAAACCAAGCCTATTTTGTCTTCCCTGCAAGTGGCTGATGAAGTTATTGTTTTCATTATGAATTTTTTTCTCCTGTTTCTTTATTTTCTTCGCCACGTCCTTCCAAGATTGTGCACAGGGCTTTTCCATTCGGGCTTGTGTCAGGTTTAAATTCTGACATTGTTATTCTAAACTTAAACCTCAAGCTAAAGATATTCCCCGAGCAGTGACTTCATGATGACATCATCACAAATCAATGAACAAATCCGTAAATGTCAATTACAAATCTGATTTAAGTGTTGTAACTTTGCACCAAAGCCAGCATGTGGTGTACTTGGAATTCATGGGACGCCATGATGATGTCATTGCTTTATTTTTCAGTTGCTGGCCTTAAAAAGACGCTGCTGTCCACGGCGACGCACAAAAATGAGTGAAATCGCAGAGAAAGTGCAACATGTATGACAATCAAGGAAAAAGGAAGCTTCAAATAAGAACTGAAACCTTGTATTCGTCCATGCCATCAGATGGCAAAACAAAAACCTCCGTCAAAAACTGACCAGGCTGAAGGCTGCCTTGTTGGCTGTTCAACAAAGAACCATCCATAATCATGCCTGCCACTGCATTAGGCTTGGGCGAGTCTGGGGTAAAATCATTTAGAGTCGATTCCATATAGTTACTTATGTTGGATGGGAGGCGGGACAGTTCTCTGTATTTCCTTTCCGGGAGTTTTGATTCTAGCAAGAAGCATTCTCTGAAGACAATTGACCACAACAGTAATGTAAAACCCACTGTTCACTGTATACAGCGTTCATAAATGTACTTTGGTAGAGGACAAAACACCAAATATTTTTGTACAAAAAAATTTAAAATCTTCTTGGGGCAAATCATTACATTTCATAAAAATACTTTTGATTTGAAATTGAACACCATTAGTCGTGAGAAGTGATTAATGATAAGGAAGTTCCCCAAACCTGTTATTCGTTTCCCATTAGATCGGCAGTACTTGTAAGGTGGAAGATTTACGTTTGGTTTTTGTAGTATGATGCAGCATTGTTGTTTGTATATATTTGCACATGGAGACATGATGTGGTCATGTTTCTTCCAGATTTATATTTAAGTGGGTGCTGGTACTGCCATGTGATTGTTATTAAACTGCCTCAGTTGGAAAATGACAAGAACATTTTGACCCAATTAAAGACAAAAATCTGTCTTGCTGCTTTATGTTCATTTGAAATAAAATTAAAACCTTCTCCCTTTTTTAGCATTTTTATATTTTACTCATATAGAATGCAATTTTTTTGATTTTCAAAATGGCAGTGTTTCAGATGTTGTAATGAAATTGGGTTAGATGAGTGTCAAACGTCATAGGACAGTGTGGCAGAGATTGTGAGATGTCATATGATCGTGTAGATGATTTTCAGATGTCATATGACAATATGTCAGAATGTTGGGTGTCATATGACAGTGTAGATGATTGCCAGATGTCATGACAGTGTCAGATCTCGTATGACGTGGCAAAAATTACCAAATGTTTCATGTAAGTGTGGATGATTGTCAGACGTCATATGATAGTATGGTAGAGATTGTCAGATGCCATATGACAACGCAGATGATTGACAGATGTCATATGACAGCATGTCTGATGCACAGTGTGTCAGTTGAGAGTGTGTCAGATGCAATATTTCCATGAAGCATGCAGCTCGATTGTGTGTACATATATTTTGGTGGGTTCATTTTGGGGCCCTTGTAAGATGTCCAGTCTGGTTGTACTTAAATGTTGCTTGAACTTTTCAGTTGAAATACATGTACATGTAGTGCATTTGTGCAAGACAACCTCAAGAGCATAAAGAAAGAGCACAGTTTTGTGCTCCAATTTTTTTTTGGTCTTGGTCTTTCATGGGAAGTCGCAATTATTTTATGCATTTAAGTTAACTTTAGTGATGCCAGAAATAACGGGGGTTTTGGACAATGATTATGTTTACTGTATTTCAGTTCTCGTTTTATAGTTTTTGGTGATTGGTGTAAACTAAGGAGTTTTGTACAGTTATTTTTCAGGTTTAAGAAAAGTGCTTTTCTACATCAAAAAAGTATATATTTATTGCTGTAAATAGAGGCACACCTGCATTGGACATGTATAATGTGCCCCGTATGGCCATGAGGATCAAAATATCTGTTTGGGGTCTTTCTGTGGGTAATTTTTTTTTACTTTTGGACTAGTGTAGTTGGAATATAAGGGGTACATGCATGTAATTTATAAATTACTATTTATAATGTTCATGGCTGTTCTAATAATTTTCAGAATGCTGCAAAGCATTTTGAAGTCATTCAGCTTTTAGGAGAAGCTGGCTGCACACGTAACGGGAACACCGCGCTGTTTTGTGAAATTTATCTATTGAAAATTAAAAAAAAATTTTTGGACGTTTGTTTCTTCCCAATAAATAATTGAGAACAAAGAACATTCCCTTTTAGTTTCACAGAAATTTGATGTAAACTCTTAGTGCATGTAAACTCTTAGTGCATTTCTAAAAAATCCTGTAATTTAACACCGTATTTCACCAAGTCTAACATTTCGGGTCGATTGACAGGTTTCATTTTTGAACAGTTACAGCCAAAATGCTAATTAACTTTGCAGCTACTACTTTGTCAAAAAATGCACCGAGACCTTATCGGGGTGTCATTTATGAAAGTTACCTGTGAAAGAGCGGAGCCAAGCTTTTCTCGTTGGAGGGGAGCTTTACTCTAGAAATATGAAGTGTACCCGTCCATTGGGTCAAACTCAAAAAAAAATTTTAAATGTATTTGCTGACTCAAAATACAATTATACACAGCAGTTTATGCCTGTGGCACATGTACCAAGTCAAAAAAGGACATCACAAAAATCTACAAAAGTTTTCAGCACAGTCTCCACTTTCTCTCAACATTGTTAGGATTTTTCGCAACCTTGTTTGACAGCGACTCTCCCTTTTGTCTACAACCAACCGGAAGTTACGACCCCATAACGAAAAAAGCACGCAACTGCTTTTTTTTCTGAAATCAACTACGTGTCAAATTTTTGCAGGAACATTTCTTCGGCTAATTGGATCAAAGAAACCTACAGCTTCATCTACTATTAATTTTACTATTTTCCAAAAATGAATCCACAAACAGATTGAAATGCTCCTTTTTATACGGCATCATCCTCTTTCGAACTGCACACCTAAAATACTTATAGATTAATCCGAGGAGACGTCACGTGGTGGTACCTCATCATTCCCGCGTTCTTTTTTTCTCTTTCTATGTTTTATTGATCAAGACTCCCGCGTTCTTTGCACTGACGGTGCGCGCGCGCATTTCGACCAGACAAAGCATCCTATTGGCTGAAGATGCATAATGCGCTTGTTCCACTTCCAGCTCTCCACCAGTGTGGTGCCACCGAAGTCGTGGTTCTTAATTTCAAGTGGCCGGATTGGTTTTGGTCCAACCATCGATGTAGATTTATATACGCAATCATACGTATGAAGCCAAACCACAGTTCACAACCATGCACAATGCATGACATCTATGATGCTCAACCAACCATAAAAACTTCACGTGAGAAATTAGGCTCCTATAACATTCGAGCTTTATTTTCCTTAAAAAAAACCCTCCCTGTCTACAATTTCGACCTGGGGTTCGAACTCACATCCCATTCATCACAAACCGTTATGCTGTTACCGTTTGACTTCTGCGAATCACAAAAGCGGGCGGTGTTTTTACTGTTGATACGGCTGCTGCGCGAGTCTAATACACATTGGACATGCGCAATACAAACACAACCACCGTGGATAGCTCTGTAGTCCGACCAAAAGTACCTATTGAAGTCAACGTCAGGGTGCCCTCGAAATGACGGCACCCGACTGACCATCAACGTCAGGGTGCCCTCAAAATGACGGCACCCGACTGAACATGAAATCTTTGGCGGAAGTCGTTAACCAGTATGCACATGTCCATCTGATGTGGACCAATGCCGGACGTGTCAGGTAGAGTTGACGTCGTTGCTATACGGTCCCGGTCGGCCCGTAGGTAGTCTGTGTCAATGGTTCAAACGCTAGTGGGTGCTGCCGAAGGAATCAATCTTCTTGGGCACCACAGCTCTCGTACCCGCTTGATGGTCTTCAGCTCGTCGTAGTAAGTGATGAGGAATAGCGTGAACGTCAAAGCCATCAGGTACTCTGCGACTGCACTAATGATGTGGTCCACATAGCCCTGGGCAAGAGGTTGAGATCAAACAACACTGAGTAAGAGGCATTCGCAACGTCGCAAGTTTCACTCAAGGCGTTTCAGGTATACTGTCGTTCGAGGATTGTTTTTTTATTCAGGGAGCAAAATATGAAAAGATACATCGTGATGGCGGTCGAGACCTCGTAATTGGGAAACCATCAAAGACCAATACTGTACATCATGCCTGAATCAAGTCACAAGCTATTCAAAACCGCAACCTGCCTCCTGTCTAAATCAAGTCACAAGCTATTCAAATGAACTGCAACAAAAGCATGTCATTCTTCACCTCGTTCATACGGTGCCTGATCTTGTCCTGTTTTCTCTTCGATGTTATAATCAAAGCGGTCTCACCTATTTGCTGCCACCAAAGGGGGAGTTTGAGTGGCCTGGTACCCAGGGTATATTTTGTGTGCAGGTTATCAGGGAAAATCGACTAAAATTCACAAAGTGCAGCAAAATCAAAAGACCCCAACTACTTGTAGAGATCTTTGGGTCCGAAAGCCGCCACGGTCTGACACTGGTTGAAATTTTTCAACCCCTTCCACTGATTTTAGGTACTCAATATCCACGATTATTGAGCGTGTCAGTCGCTTCTCTTTACAGATTTTCATGCATGAATAATTCTTTAACAAAGTTCACGTGCAAGTATTTCTTGTGTTGCTTTGAATAGTGATTTCCACTTTAGCACAACTTCGATTACGCTATGGACGTAAAAAGCACCTAAAAGTAGTACACCCCAGACCAAAATAAGGTCCTTTCGTAAACTGTGGCTTCTTGCCGTATATCATTGATACGGCAGGGAACCAGCTATACGCACCCCATCGTCTGGTCCCCAATGCATGTGGTCAGCAAACGTTCCGTTGAATTGCTGGAAGGCTAAAGTGATGTAAACACTAACTGTATACGGGTAGCGTTAAGAAGCCATCTTGGTACAGCTTGTCATAGTGAGAACAGAGAAAGCAAACAGGCAAATATGCATGGGGTGAGTAAAATAATTTGCGCTTAGATTTGGTGTAAAATTCTGCAAAACTGACTTGCGTTTTACACCCACTTGGTTTCAGAAATCCCGGCGCGCACCTCTCTGCATTTACCGGTTCACGGGTATTTGTTAGTCCGTCCTAGCGATAGTGTGCAATAATTGGTGGCTGCATATGGCTGCTGTATTACTGACGTCCCCTTCATCTTCTCTCTCGAGTAGGACCTCAATTAATCAAAGCACGATGGTCAAATTTCACCAGTGACTATACAAACACAGTCAAGATACTTCGCGGGTCATAAGGATACAGGTGATGAAGAAGATGGCACAGAGAGCCGTGAGAAAGAAGCGCAGGACAGCCATAGCCCAAGACCAGAAGTCGGTGGATAGTGCATAGCTGATCCGGCTCTGGAGGTAACCGTAAATCACGCCAAGGCCAAAGCACAGTACAGAACCCACAACATGAATGGAAGTTTGAACTTGAAGGTTAGGTTCCTGTATGCAGACAGAAAGAACAAAACTCCTGTCCTAACCACCGTCCGTTATATTGTCAAAAACAGAAAGGAGCTTCGATCGTTCGGAGATTGCATCGGGTTGCATGTTAATGGAGAGTGGCCTTGTCATGAGGGTTCGTCACTCGTAGTTAGACCAGTGGCTTTGGGAAGGCCACGTCATCCCAACTTACCTCTTTGATCTCCACCCAAGAGTGTTAATTGGGTACTGGCGGTAGATGGGAAAACTCCTGACGGTCTAGCACATTTGGATCATTTCAAGCTATGCTGAAACCGAGGTATAAACGGGAGCCATTATATAGCCACATTATTCGACCCGTCACAAACTTTGCTTTTTTACTCTTAATAATAGTTGAGTGACATTACCGTTTCCAGGTCAGTGTTTCCGAATTCCAATGTTTTCGTCTCTTACCAAGCCTACTTGGAAATTTGCGACCACGCTCAGGCCGAACACAGCCAGGTAGCCCGGAGTACGAGAGGCGCTGTTCCACCTCAATACGTCGGCAGGAACGTCCTTGCGCCGGTTCGCTACCTGCCAATAACGCAGGTATATCAAGGCTCCAACTGTACATGTCAGGACAAAAAGGAAATACTTTTGGTTGGAATTTCTCGATCCTAACGGTCAACAGTACACTTTGAAGAATTGGCCCGATTTGGACCTACAGGCCTATCAGTAAATCCTTTGACCAAACGGTCAAGAGTACACTTTGAAGAATTGGTCCGATTTGGACCTACAGGCCTATCAGTAAATCCTTTGGCCAAATAACGATGCTTGGGGAAAGTGCAAACAAAACTCCATCAGGTGCTCGTACACTCTAAAAACTCTCGGGTCAGGTAGACCCAGAATTGAGTCCCATTCGGCGTGATCCTTTTCTGGGTCAAATTATGACCCAGAGTACGATCCGAAAGGGGATCATTTTTTACCCAGAAACGGTCATGTCGAATGGGACCCAATCCTGGGCCAATTAGACCCGGAAGTTTTTAGAGTGTACACTTACTTAAAACACTTGCAGCGTTCAGCATTTGGCCAAATACACAGCTCTCCGGTTGCAAGGCACCAGTGTCACTGTGGGGAAAAAAAGAGATTCTGACCCAACTCGGATCTATAAACGCCAAAAAACTGACATAAAATTCTACCCACAAATTTTAATGGATGTGATGCTAGAACAGTGTGCTCACGCTTGAAAACTCAATTTAGCAAAATGGTTAATGGTATTCGATTTGTGAAGTGAACGCGTGTAGAAAAAGGGTACAGGTTTTACTATCGTATCCCGTCCAGAAATGGATAATGAAAAAAAGTTGAGAACTCAACGAAACACACACTTAAAACACTGGTACAACTCAATTCGAAAATTAACAGGTGGAATTCCTTTCAAAGCGAGTTGAAAATTGGTGGATCTTTCTCTTCAATTGGTTGACATTGTGTGAAAGTTCATGCTATACTTTACCTTTATAGGCAGTGGCGGTCTTTTCCTTCCACCTATGCCCCATATAAATAATGAATCAAAGCATGTATGGATTTCACTGGTTTTTCTCTTCTCAACCTTTTACGATTTGAGTAAAATATGGAAACCTGCACCCGTCCCAGCAAGTCACGAGTAACAGCTAAACCTCACCTTATATACGGTAGAAAAGGGTAAACGTGATGCAGTCGAACTGCGATGATGTATCTGCAGTTGATTAAAAAAAACATTCAAGGAGCTATAAGTCATTTGAAAAGTCTTTGATGTGTTAAATGTAGTTGCATGGATCTGTTATGAAGTAAGCCTATAGGCCTCATTCTATTCCCAACTGTGTAGGCCTAAACCAATCAATACTCACGGCACGACGATGCCCACGAGCAACAAAGCTCCAGCGCCCAGCGGCACCCACCCAAAGCCATGACCACTCAACATTCTGTCAGCATTGCTTCTGCTCCCGGTCAAACTCCTGGAAGTTAGCATTTGTAGAAAACTATATCCTTTGATGGGATGAGAGGACCCTAGCCCCTGGCCTAACAGACGGACCGCGCCGGCGAATGAAATCGTGTGGGTATTCACTACGAACCGTTCAACAACACTGTTGATGCGGGAGAAACTTCACAGGTGCATGTTTGCGCACCCCAATCGATCTCGGATGTACATATATCGGCTAATTACGCAACCATCATGTGGACTTCTCAGTCATAGCGTGTCTGTGTCCGTCCACCAAGGGCAGCCGATATTTTAGACGTGCTGCGGATCATGGCTGGACGAAGTCACGGCTCGGTCATCTGTGACCACTCACTAACTCGGCATGTGTAGGTGCACACACATTGCAGCGCACGCATTCGCCAGCGAATGACACGGCACGCGGTCGTTTTTCATTAGATATAGTGATACCGTTGACAGGCAATGGATGGTTTGTAGCTCCATGGTTTAAGTGTTTTCTGTTGCTTCCAGAAGAATTCTTCTCGAGCTTAGAAGCAAAGCCTTATGGGAACTAAAATGCATTCAGTCAGTCCACCTATGAGTTGCACAGATTTCCGAATTTCGTCATCGCAAATGCTGAGGAAATTGACTGCTATTTTATTCACGCATTTTTATGTGATGACATTTCGTTTTCTACAGACCAATGTTTGAACAAAAATTCCATTACACGAAAAAGATCCAGGAACATGTGATACAAAATCATGCGTTAGCCAAAACAGGCGCCTAGAACCCTCGAAAAAAGATTCACAAGTGTTTCCACAGCTTGAAATATGATAGCACTGACAAACACCTCTTTATTACCGATTAAGCACATTAGAGAGCAAGAAGTCTAGTGTTCGAAGCCATTGAACCTGTATACCAGCTATTCAAAAATCAGCAAAATGTTTATCGTTAAAAAACGTCCAGTGGAAGGCGCAGAACACCTTGCTCGCAGTGCCTTAATTGCTGGTCAAAAAATGATTACCGGAAGAACTTTGCTGTCCAGTTCTACACCACCATAAGTTTACACATGTAAGCCATGCATGCCACCGACTGCTGTGATAGTGGTCTGTTATAGTGCAACATTACAGATATGCCCGAATCCATGCCGGCCAATATTTTTCACGGCTGGCTATTTTTTTTTCATTTTCAAGCGAATTCTGTTTGGATTAACCCCGCGTGTCCCTTTTGGTTAACTAACAGAAATAAATTGGCTCTCAATATATACAAATGGGCCTACGACATAGAATTTGGAAAAAGATTGGTAAATACAAACCTCATTAATTTTAAAGAAAAATAGAAATAAAGCACCGTTTCTGTCTGTGACGTCCACAAAAATCTTGAAAAACAGTTTAATATTTGCCAGTTAACACCTTGGTAAAATCGGGATAGTTACATGAAACACCTTCCGTAATTTTGGGGAAGAAATCTTAAAAGTTTCTCCTCAGATGAGGGACACAAGAGGATCGCCAGCAGAGACCACATGGCCTTCCACATGGGGGCGCTCTTCCGTCAGATCAACTTTCCTATCCGGTGACTGGATCGAGCTGAACTCTTTGTAGAGTGATAGGGTGAATATGAGGAGTACGATTCCCAACGAGTACTCGGATGCTGCGCTGTAGACGTGGTACATATAGCCCTGCAATCAAGGTTGACCCAAAAAAATCGACGTTGAACACCTTAAACTGATCACAGAAATACGAAATTCTGGCCTCCACAAGATAATGGCTATTTGTCGTACTGTGGAAATATCTTCGATTACTGTTAGATTGTTTTAAACAAAACGAAAATACACCAGTAGTAATACAAAATAATTATTTGTATGCTTCTTTAACAGATAACTGAACTGAATGGAGTGGTAAATCTCATATTTGACCCAAATCTATGACTTGAAGACAAAATTTAATGATACAATGAGGTGGCGCTTGGTGGCGCTATAAAGGTCTTTGAAGGTTTGACGTCATCATTCTGTGACCGTTGCCATTTAGCTAGCGTGCACGTTTGCAGGTTGAAGGATTGCACACGAAACAGTGTAACCAAAGCTGCAAAATGACCGCTGAAATGATTATGGGCAACGAGTATGTCCTCCCCTTCAGAAACTACAAGGACTGAGTAGAAACCGCTACGCGCCCTAAGATTCGGTAAGTTTTGTTTCTTTTCCACACCAGGGATCACGCGTTTAGGCGGCATTGGAAGGCAAGGGCTTTGTACCACAAGTATAGGGCTCAGGTTACCCTTCTATGCATTTTTTGTTGCTAAATTAAAATAACAAAGCACAGCCTCCAAGACGCCAGTAAAGCATAAGCTCTGTTCTTTTAACCAGATCAGTTTCATTGTACCTACCCCATCGTACGGGTTCCAGTGCATGGTGTCTGCGTATGTTCCGTTGAATTCGGCATTTGCCAGTTCTCTAAATTCAAGGACTGAATAGGTCGAAGGTGAAGGAAAATTAAGGCACTGCACACGGCTGTATCACATACGAGGGCGCCACCACGGATGTGGGCCTAGTATTATATATCCTGACGTTTAATACTGAACTTAAAGTTAATTGATGTTTGATTGTTACCAGCGCAGTGTCGGCCTGTGGATTACACGTGTCACTGTGAACTCGCAATAGCCTGTACTTCCCGAAAATTATCTTCTACAGAAATAAAATTTTGGCAGTGGTATTGCTGTAGTCCATGCTCAGAAATCATTTGCCCAGGAAGACCTGAATAAATTTATTAGGACAATCGATCACTTCAATCTGCACCAGTAACCAAAATAATGGGATCCAAGCAATCTCAACTTGCTCGAACTTTGTCAACTTGGAAGAACGAGAGCGCAACTCATGTTTATAGAAAATTGCCTCTTGCCACTCCTAAATTAAGCCCTGACCATCATGGGATCATCACTGGACGATATCTCTCGGTTGATTTTGTGGTTTGGGGTGGGGTTTTTTGGGTTTGGGGTTTTTGGGGGTTGGGTTGGGTTTGAATTCTTGGGTTGAGTTGGGTTCTTGGGTTGGGTTGGCTGTACATTTCAAAGGATACAAGTGACCATAAAAAATGCCCCCGCCAGTGACAGAGCGAGCCGTAGCAGGGTCATAGCCCAGGACCAGAAATTATTGGCCAGCTTATATGTGATCCATGTCTGCGTCCAGCAGTACAGGTATCCGCTGCCGAAACAGGTAAATGCGCTGCATAAGTGCACCTCCGTCTCGACAGCTTGTCTAGACTCCTGCAGAAAGGTCGAAAATGATAGAGCAAAGACTTCTGAAATGTTTATGTCCGGTCGTATGTGCAAAGTAGCACTGTGCTCAAAATGTTTGCACCTTAAAGCATTTTATGTAGGCTCCCATCAACAACCACTTCTAAGCGACATCAAACTCTCACGTCTTCCACTCGCACCCACCATAACCCTCTTCATACCAAGTTTCAGTAAGGTCTCATTTCTCTTACAAACCTCCGGGAAGGAGTTTATAGGCGTGCGAAATCCGAAAGCTGTGGATGTGCCATGCACGTTGTGGCCACGCGGAAGTGTTGACGTATGACTGTTACTGTTTAAACTAGTCATTGAGGGCTCGTAAACATTACGTAACCTGTGATCGTCCCGAAATTAAACCCTTACCGCGTGCTAATACATACGGGACAGGCCGTATTCAAATTCCTTGGCTACGGCTATTACGCACGACTCGGTTGACAGTGCTTCCATGCAGCCACTATCGTCGACTCGCATGTAGTTTCAAGTCGCAGCCAAGTAATTTGGGCAAACTTAAGACTTAATTTGCAATCGACCAGTAGAACTTAAAAGCAAGCACGAAAGCAAGCAAGAATTCAAGCAATCAAACAAGCATTCAAACGATTACTCTATTTATCTATCTAATACTCTATCAACCAATAAATCAATATCTAGTTTATTTATCAATAATGCCATTACTAATAAATTTTTTTGTAACCACGCTAAGAAAGAACACGGACTTGGAAAAAACATTAACCTCGTTGATCTGTACGTTGGCCACAAGGCTCAGGAAGAACGCAGACAAGTAGCCCACAAACGCCGACATTTTGTTCAACTCCAGCAGTTCTGTTGGTCCGTTCCCAGCTACCTGTTTGTAGCGGATGTAGATCATGACGCCAACTGTTGGGATGAAGAGGGTAACATGTCAAGTCCTGGACAAAATGGACTCAGTGGATGAGGTCACATTTGTCTCCTTCACCCGCCCCCTCCCCCTCTCTCTGTCAACGTCAAGTCCATGCGTCGGTCTACTCTATGTCCCTTTGGTATAGCAACCTCGACTCCATGGGCTGCGTGCGCGCAAGGCATGGCGGGAACCAACATGACGCGGCAAGATCGTACCTATTGATCATACCTTGAGATTCGGAACAGTTCATTAGACTGTATCAGCCGATAGTTATTTCAGTATGCAGTGCTTGTACATTTAAACAAATGACAAACTTGCACAGGAGAAAATTACTACAATATCACTCTCAAGACGAACTTTGTTTGATGCAGCTAAAGGGGCATCGAAGACTCACATATTCTTGTGACGTACACGCAGGGATTTTTCCCCACTGAAAGCTCCACAGTCCCTTGGAATTTGTACAGAAAGACGATCGGGGATTGGATATTACAACAAACGTTTACAAAGACTTACGTAATACGCCAGCCATGTTCAGCATCTGGCCAAACACGCAGTTTTCTGGATGCAGTGCGCCCGTATCGCTGGAATGTGAAAAACAAACCCCGGTTTGATCACAAGCTAACGTAAGAAAGGTACGTGTACATTGCACTTTACCGTTTTGGGGTAGTGATTCACGGTCATTGGAATGGTTTTAAGCTGAATTATGTGGTAACACTGCGTTTTCATATTCAACATTCCGAGTTCCATGTTTCTACGGTTTCGTAAAATTTATGAAATGTGTGGGTACCTCGAGAGGTACGTAGGGCCTACCTGTATTCCGCATATACTCGGTGTTTCAGGCAGAAGCATAATTATTTCTGAGAGGCACCTAAGAACATTTTACAAGGAAGCACTAAAGGTATAAACAGTAGCGTGATGTGCATAGTTTGTGTACATTTCGAAATTTCGAAGGGGTTATTTGGGGTCACAGACTTCCGCTGCAGCGGGTATGTCTCCCCCCTTCGGTATACATGTTCACCCCTGGTTTTAGGACACCGGTAAGCGCTACAACTGCACATCGCTGCCCGTGGCAGAATTTGATGGTAATGGAAGAGTCGAAACTTTAGCTGAAGCACTCAAAGGGGCTGCAAGCGGTTTCTTTTAAGACAGACATTAAAAATGCACTTTAATTTGTGTCTCGGTTTCCTTAGTTTCAACTTTTGTTTCCCTATTTCAAAAGGGTATATTTCACTCCCTTTTTCGTTCTTATGCTGGTGAATTTTTGCTCTTTTCATGAGGAAAACTGTGATGTCACCCTAGGAAGATAGCCTGTTTGATACATTGGTTTGTACGCAAAAAGTCCTATTTTTTGTAGATTTTGCTGAACTGAATTTTCTCTTCGTTGCCGATCAGTTGTTGTTTATGTGCATGGCAATGTGTATGCATTAATCCCTTTCACAGAAATGTTTTCAGTATAAATTCAGGGTCAACAATTCAAACAGAAAAACCTACGCACTGAATTATGTCTTCCCTGATAACCAAGGGTGGGACGTTTACACGTTTCACGGTTTAAACGAAATAAAGTTCCAAATCCGTTTACAGATTTTCCCAAACGTTGAAACGGAGCCGCCCCTTTTAGAGGTTTGACCTATCGATTGATGTAATTTGGCGTTCTTTTTTTTTAATTATAAACGATGTCAGTTACATACTGTATTATTCCCTTTCGGCGTCCATGTACTTTTTGACAAAACAAGATTCTAAAACAATAAACGTTGCTTGTTTTGAACGCCCCAACATCAATGTACATTTTTTACATAGGTTGTACCGTGTGCATTGTTGAACTATATAATTATGCATATGAAAACACAGAGGTAGGCGGCGGCCTCTGTAAAGTGTTGGCTAAACGTTAAAACGGTAGGCCTATGGGAAGGTTTTTGTGAACATTTTTCAAATTAAACGTTAATTCCAACCCTTACTGATGGCATCACAGTAACAGCGAGTGTTTGTTGTCCAGAAAAGTATGGCATCCATAATCCGATAATGTTAAGTGTTTCAAAAAGTGCCCCGTTCCGATAGGCCTTTAATCAAATAGGAATGTAGACGACTTTCCCCACACTGAAGAAGAGAACAAGGCTGCAGAAAAATTGTGTCTAAGGAACTTGATTGCAGCTACACTTTAACCTCGCACATCCCGTGACTGTTCAATCAATCGGTTTCACTTTGGGGCAGCTACATGTATACGCAATCAGCCTCGCCATGCATGTACATTGATTCCGGAAACCTCACATTAGAACGTGCTTCAGCTGAACAACACGGGTTGAGCAGAGGAGTGCAGCGGCCGGATATTGACAGGATTTTGGTGAGGAGGATGGACATACTGGAGGCATATTCTTACCTAATATATGGCAAGACAGGGTACACATGACCCAACCGCACTGCAATGATGTACCTGTAAAAGAAGAGCAACTTTTAAAATGGCAGATTGATGTCTTTCGTGGGGGGAGAAAGGCAAATACGGCACGAAATGAGGTCATTTGGGCCGCGGTGCCTGAAGTCTACATCTCTACGAGGGTTAGAGAGAGTGTCTATCGTCTTACTCTGGTCTCTTTTCGTGTCTGAGTGAGCCATGGCGGCCTTCCTGGGAATAAATTCTTTGAGTGCAGTTTATACGTGTCACGAGTTCGTTGCAGCTTATATGCCATCATCATTTTGGGCGAGCTGCGAAGCAAGTGCGAGCCTGTCATACCGATTTCTGTCTTCTGTCCGTCCGGCCGGCCGTCCGCCCTCAAATGTTAAAGACTTAGTTTTTCCTAGCAGGTCCATAGCCTAGGTGTTTAAATGTGCCATTGAGTCCCTGTTTGCTTCTTCTTGGAATTCCATCATATTAAATACTGTATTTTTAATACATGATCCTCACTTCCATCTGACACCATGATCAAACGGTCGACATCCCCGAGTCCCACCCCAGTGGAAATGAAACAATGTCCATAAAATACCCCGACGTCAAACAAAATGAGAACTTACGGCACCACGAAGCCGACCAACAGACACCCACCGGCTGCCAGCGGCAGCCACCGGTAGCTGGCACTCCCTAATCTCGGGAGGAACATGGCGACGACTCACTGCTGCGTCGTACCGGTTTAGGCCTAATAATTAGATTTGAATATCGCCGTCCGTCTCCCCAGATCGCGAAACGACACATTAACCAAAACTCACCACTGAGGTCGATCTAGGCAAAGAACATGGTCTAGACCTGACTGGATTAGAAAATAATCGATGAACCCTTACGAAATGGGGAAGTTTATAGTGTACGGTAAATGAAGGTGACCGTGATGTGTGGAAGTAGAGACAACTTCCGTTTACAATATATCGGCGCTGACTGTTCAAGGAAGGTCAACTTATAACCTTGGCCAGCTATGGAATGTATGAACGAATGAAAGTGCGCTGCTACGGAAGCGCATAAAGGCCACATGCAAAAAAAATTCGGGTTATTTCCTCGTCGCAGCACGAAAGTAACTCCCTGCTACGAGAAACTCCAAAACGTTTTTTGCACGTGCCCCTATACACACCCGTAGCCTGCCATGCTCTTTGCACTGCATAATAGCATAATAAAAAACTGTCACACTTGGCTAGCTACAAACGGTACAAAACGCATTCCAGGGCACCAGGTAGGCTACAAAAATACTTGATATAAATCGGCATATCATTAGTATTAGAAATTCTGACTTCATTCAGCCGTGACTTTAATTAACGCACACCATATCGTTCAATAACTTAATTCTGAAAAAATTACAAAATAATTTCAAATATATGGAATTAACAGGTCCGCAGTGGGTTCATGGCCGGGACTGAAAAGTTCATGTTTGCTGTAATATTCCAAGTGTTTTTACGGAATCTTTCAAATTATGTACTTCTGTCAATATGTCGTCTCGCCAATGATAATCCTACAGTACAGTGTGGCCAAAGTGCAGCGGAGATCGGGGCCCAGGGCCAGTGTGGTGTGGTCGAGTGCTGCGGTGAGTCCATGATGGCACAAGTCCTCCAGTCTCAGTCCTATGCTATTCCAAAAAAAATCAGGAAAAGGTGCTTAACGGACCGAAAACTAGGCGTTTCAAAATAAACTACCGTGTCCGCCTCCAACAGGCTTCCAGAGCTACAGCATATGTCACCATGATATGTCACTGACATAACGCATGGACCGCTGGTCGTGCGTGCATAACGGCGTGATTTTGAAAAGTACCCGGTTCGTAAGTGAATTCGTCACTAAGGCAGACGCGCCACTATTTGCAGGCTCTCATTGGACAATTGCTGAAACTGCGCGTTAACTTCCGGTTCCTTGGTTCCATGTAAACGGCAATCACTGCACGTAACCCTATGTGCAGTGCACGTGTGCTGTGGGCGTGGTTTAAACTGAAGTAACGTCACACTTACGAACCGTATGGGCAAACCATACGGCACAATGAGCGAAGCGACGGATGGCAGCGCGTTCAGTGCGCATTACGCGCAACGCACTTACATTGCCTGTATTGTTTATATGTGCTCCCAAAATAAGTTCACTTTTTTGCTCTTTCGTTGTGCTATCTCATCTTTTCAAACGTTACAGCCGCATTGCTTGAATCCTTATTGGCCAGATTAAGTAAATAGAGGGTTTTTTTACAATGGTAAAATGGCTTCATAGAATTTTATGGCTGGATTTCTTCAACTGTGCGTAAATCCCATGTAGTTTTGAATAGGACGTGGCGGTCCATACGTTTATATGTCTGTGCCAAGACATAACCGTGCAGACAACAGATTTGGAATCTGCCGATCTTATTATGGGGATTCGATATTTGACAGTACACCATAATTATTTGTGTCTGTTTCGGGGTCCGACTACTTCGCAACACCGGCCCACTGTTACGTGCTCACGGGAATTTCCCCATGTGAGAATTCTTCACTGCTAGTTTGCACGTGACCTGGTTGGATTGTGATAACCCTCACGCAGTGGCCATACCCGCGTGTTTGTGTACAGTGATGTAGTGCCATTAAACTTGATGGCATTTGTAGTGGGTCTTCATGCCAACACAGAGCATAGATTGGTACTCGTGCACTCGTCCTGCACATGTACATGTGAACACAAGTTGTGCCTTACCGGGACACCTGGGATTTTCATTCTGGCCTTCGACCTTCAATTTTCAATGGTCTTTACTCTTGACTCAACATTCTCTTGGCACAACATTGATTATCGTTTCTGGATGTAATTAACAATAAATAATTGATACAAGTAAAGACTAGTAGATGAGTCTCAAGCTTTCCTTTCTACCTCCATGCTTTAATTAGGGGGCGAACCCCCGCTCCATCCAGTGAATTAGGGGTAGGTCATCGTATTCCCGAACATTATGCGTACTTTTCTCCGCGTAACACGCACACGAAGTTTACCGATGCTGCTTTCCGGTTCGTTACTTCGTTGTATGCATACGTGCACGCACCACTGATTACAAACTCCCATTGGATGAAAACTTCGACTCGTTAAACTCCGGTTCCATGGTTACTAACTTTATGCGCAATGGGCGTGGTTTAAAACTGGCGTCGTCACACAAAGCAGGCGCAATCGACTAACCTCGCACGGTTTGCATGCACCACGCTGGCTAACAGAAACACTGTCCACACGGTCATTCTAACGTGTAATAGTTAACATAATAATACAATTTTATATACACTTCTCATAAACGCAGTTCACTTTCATTCTGTCGAACCATAAAGGCCCTGACAAAAGTTTCTGGCAAAGGAAATCAAATTCTGGTTTGAATGATTTTTATCTCCACCCTTTCAGTCGTTTCATTTTAACCAAATTGCATTTACGTACTGACATCGTCAAGCAGTCCTTGTGCTCCACATTCCCCCAAGGTAAACCAACTGCAGTCGAACACAGGAAAGAATAGCACGGTGAATACAAGGTCATATTTATAACGAGGACAATTTTAGGTCCCAATTTTTCGTTTTTTCTTTTATTATAACAAGGTAATTTATGAAGTCTCAAGGACCTTGTCCTAACAGCGTTCCACTGTGTGTGTATATATATATAAATATTTCCAAACCTCGGAACTATAAAGATGTATTGTTACACAAAAATCACAGAGACAAAGAATTTACACGCGCAGCTGCCTACTGAATAAGCAAGAAAAAATCTCTCCTCTGTAAAATTTTAAAAGATTTGATCCCAACAGCATATTCAGGCACTAAAACTACGGTCAAAATATTTTTGTGAAATCTACTTTTTGCACAAATGCTAACTATTAATGAATTCAAGTATTTGATACACACTGTTTAGAAAATAATCTTTGCAACTGCATATATAGGCATAATTATGTCGCTGATGGACAGAAAGTGCAGTTTGTGACCATGCAATAAACTTGTAGATGTGAAACTACAATCCGTTTCAGGTTTTGACATCAGAAGCACTTTTCTGATTTCTTTTTTATTTTCAGCCTCGGATCCTTTGGTTCACTGACATCACCTTTCAATGTGCACCCCCCCCTTGGAAGTTACAGAATTACAGAGATTTGCAATTAAGCCCAACTTTTACACTTGTGACCTCATGACACTGTAGAATCATCCCATTCATCCGAGATGTGTACAGGGTACCAAAGCGTGATGTCATTTTGAACGGGGAATCGAAGTACAAATGAATGGAGTATTCATGTTGGCTCAAGCACTGGTTCCTGTGCTAAAGTCTTAAACACCTAATTTGTTATGCATGGGACATATTCACTTGGGTGTACTGTATTAATGTCAGAATCGATCAATGATAATCGATAATTGAGCGTAACGAATCGGATGTGGGACACAACACAATGACTGTTGAATCCTTTTCATTGGGTCAGTCGGTGTAACTTTTAAAGCTATGAGCAACTAGTCAGATCCACAATAAAATTCCTGTGACATGTGTGACCTCATCATAAATTAGGCACCACATTACATACATATTTTTCTATCATTGTTGATGTTGCTAACAATTTCAAGAAATTAGAGCTGAGACTGTAAACCTTTAAAACTGTAAAAAGAAAAAAAATGGATATCGTGTTACGTTGAGCCAGGTCTTTAATTCAAATCACAAAATCACAAAGTCATTTGAAAGCAGAGCACCTGATACCATGCCACTTCCTACATGTTCAGTACGCGTAAGTTGGTGTACGGCTCTACTGATGTCCTCGAGCGACCTATGATGCACTCCATTTTGCGCATGTGCACTTGAAATGCCAAACTGCCTCATTAGACTGTGTGACCTCCGATTAATTTCACGTTTGGGTCAATTGATGTCTTGAAAAACCTCCATTAATTGTTGGATTTATCATCAATAAATCCCAATGACTATGCAAGAATAGTTGACCTTTGACCTCAGGATCACTAAGTTCACCCACTGCAATCGATAAAAATAGAACTGAGGCATAGTGATCTTAGTTTATGGGAATCTGCATAATCAGCTACTTAGGCACTCGGGTCACCAATCACATTGATTAACCTCTGACACCGTCTGACCTCCGCCGCCAACTCGACCTTCTGGAATTCCTTGATGAAGGTGAAGAAAAAGAAGAGGAAGGCCACGGCCATGGCCCACTCGGAGGCTGTGCTTGCCACATGCAGACCGAAGCCCTGGGAACAAGGGTGACAAGCAAATCACAGTCAGCCACTTCTTACTTCAAGTTCATACCAGGGGGGTGTGATTTGGGGAAAATGAAAAATCCACGAAGCATTCGTCGGAGGGTTTTGCAAGTTGCGTCGGCCACAGCTTCCATACAATTCGCGGCATATCTGTTTGATTATAGGAGGAGATTCAGGTACTGCATGGAAGCCACCACAAGAGCCGTTCTTACATCTGAGGGATAGGCCTACAATTATAACATTTACTGCAACTTGTGCAAGTTTTTCGCTTAGTTTCGCAACAAATATTGAAGTCTTTGCTTTATTTATTGAAAGCATTGACAATATGGAAATCTGGAAAGTCTCACACAAATTCCGGATAGTCTCACAGATATTACGGAAAAATCCGGACAAATCACACCCGTCATACCTGGCGTTAAGAGCAAATATGAATGTCGGTTTGCAAAATCAGATCAAATGTACTCGCTGTGAATTGGCAACAGTAGAACATGTTTCAACTCGAGCCCATTTCACTCCAAATATGTTGTGATGTCAATTTGCTTTGCTTTTGCATGGATTGCAGAATGGGCACGGCCTTCAAAGGCTTTTGATATTATCAACCTGGACCATGTAATGCCAGTGTGGGTTACCAACTCAAAGTTTACTCACTAACACACTCTAAACTACACTCGAGAACATCCACCACAACTCTGACTCACCCCATCTTCTGGGAGCCATTTTCGGGGATCGGCACCATCCCACTGGGAACTTGCTAAACCGGCAAACAGGAGAGCTAAAGACCAGCGGCTTAAGGAACGTCAACTTCGATATTACCGTTTCGATCATGAATATAATAGCACGCTCTCACGGTGGAGAGGGCCTAGTCTAGCAATGTTTTATCTGACGGCAACAGCACGTCAGAAGTTTGTTTTTACCGTTCCTTTTATCTAGTTGCATGTATTTGAAAAAAGCTAAGTGCCTCTCTGTTGTACCTCTTTAAATTCAACAGGCTTACGTCGAAACAGAAAGACAGAAAATGCTTTCCTATGTGTAGGAACGGTGCATTTCCAAGTTCAATTCTTGCAATGCTTTATAAATATGAATGAATGGACGTCATAAAAGGGTTTAGAGTGGGATTTTAAACTGTAGATGGAGTCTGATGCCACTCAATCCCTGTGGTCCGAACTCGGAAGTATAAAGGATACTCGTGACGAGGAAGACTAGAGCCAGCGCAGACAGAGCGAGGCGAAACCTGAACATGGTCATGGTGCAGTGCTGGGGCGACAGCTTGTAGGAGATCCAGGTCATGGTAAAACCGTAGAGGACGCCCAGGCCAAAGCACATCATGGCGCCGATCAGGTGGAAGATGATCATGTTGGTCTCCTACGCAAACGAGTTGCGGGACAGAATTGGAAGGAAAAGAGGGTTAGTGCCTCGTCAGAATCAGGCTTCGGGAGCTCTGGCTTCATCTACCAATGGCCTGTTCCCCATGTGTGACCCATCGGATGCAGCGTTAGTCTGCAGGTCCGTGCACAAGTGCCCTTCCCCTAGCACCGGGTCTGACAAATGAATGCGAATGACATCATGCATACCATGCTAACGGCAAACCCTCACTGGATTATGCATCCCCGATTCGCGGAAAGGAGTGTGTGCATGAGTTCTTCCATGCCAACTACAGGCAACAAGACACAGAATTGGAAAAAAACCAGAACCTAAATTTCGACCTGTTTTCATTTACGCAAAGCATTACGCACAGCATAAAGTCGCCCACTTCAGAGCAAGTTATCTTACTGCATCTCAACCCACATTTGTCAAGTCGCTTGGGTCGCCCACAATCCCTTTCACTTCCACAATTTTGTGCAGACTCGCTTGGCCTGAGCTGAGACATCTGGTGGGAATGGGGGTAAAAACTAGACTCACCTGGAAGTTGGCGACGATGCTCATCCCCAAGGCAGCCAGGGACCCTAGGACCAAGCCAGCCTTGTTGCACTTCAAGACTCTCCCTGGCACATCCTGGTAGTACTCAGCCACCTGCTTGTAGCGGACATAGATGGTTGCAAAGGCTGCAGGAAAGTTTAAGCACAGGAGAAACGCGTAAATCATCTGCTGTTTCTGCTGGAGTGTTTGTGAATAGTATTACCATTGAGTCTATCACAGGCTATCTAGTCTCGATTCAAGTCACAAGCTATTCAAGTGAACCATGACAAAGGAACAGTATTTGAAAAACGCAAGGTCATGTGGGAACAAAGCACATCCACGGGTCTGCATAGGGCCACGCACTTCCAAATGACCTCAGACGAATGTCATTTTGGGCGTGCCGCGTTGTAATACCCAACTGGTTCATTCCTTTTTCTTGAAACTACTCTTCTGACCAGCCTTGTGATGTACTTTGCAACTGGTCTTGCAGCTGACCCTGTGATCTTCTCGAGACTGGACTTTCAGTATCTAAAGGGATCAACCACAGAGGGGACCCCCAGACATATTCCAAAATATATGTCTGGACAAAATATTTACAATAGCGTGGGAGGGGAATGAGAACTTCTCCATTTGGTTGTGTTTTCTAATTTGCCTTTGCTAGCATTTTGGTCACAGCACACAGGGCTACACTGCCCTCAGGGGGGAAGGCGGGGCACACAGTCGTTCCCTTGGGGTCAAACAGTGCATTTCAGCAAAGTGAGACACACTTTCCTGTCTGAAAAGAGATTAGAGCAGCCGCCAAAGTTCACTTTTGTCTTTCTGAGTACAATTACCTAGTGCACTCGAGATGTTGAGAAGTTGCCCAAATATGCAGCTTTCTGGTGGCTCTGTGCCTGTGTCACTACAAAGAGAAGAGAAGTCATTCCGGAAGATCAATTTGGTCACTCCAAAGGAAAGCCATTTTCCTTTCATTTCAGACATTTATTTCCTCTTCTAATAATAGCGATAGGCCTACGGAATACAGTATTAAATAGTCATAAAGTGTTAACCAAACAAATGTATTAAATCATCATAAAGAAGACAAGAAGAGAGGGCAAAAAGCCTGAAAAGCAAAGGCTTGTGTTAGGCCAGCCAATTTGACAAATTATATACAACACATTCAAATACAAACAAAAAATTCTACACTGTGTAATCACAAAGTGATGACAAATGAAATCACTGACCCTCGATGAAATGAACGATACGGAATGAAAACAGTGGACATGGACCGAGATAAGAATAATCAATCAAGACGAAGGTTTGTACAGAGAATGGTGCGTTATTACAATAGATAAGATTTCAGTTTACTTTTGAAAGTACTGTACTTCAGACTTATGCTCGCCCATTTTGCAAAATACTTCTTTGACCATCTAGTTGCTTGACAAATTCTAAATGTATACCTCAAGTTAAGGAACATGTGGGATGTGCCCGTGAGTTCGATTCCACCAATGCAATACTAACAGAATCTCCTCACAAGAAGGTTATTCCAAATAACAAAGTTTTCTTTGTGATACACTATATTACACTAGCTGAGGGGCATGGCATTAATGGCTGTCTTGCTATCTTAAAGGGACACGTCGGAGGTAACTGTCCCAATTGTTACATGAGAAATGCTTCTCGTGAATGTACATGTAGGTATCTAGTTATTTGTCACGCTTACCTGATGTAGGGGAATCCTGCTGATACGTGGCCCAATCCAACCGCAATGCAGTACCTGGCAGAAAGATTTCAAACAATTTCATCTAATGAAATCTTCCCTGATCTCTCCCTGTAAAGTGCTTGTCAAAAATACAGGGTTCCTGTACCTAGAGGACAGTTCAATTCCATGACTTTTCCATGACCAAATTATGAATATCCATGACCCGATAATGCGATTTCTTTGACTGATCAGACTTCCAAAGTTGTGAAAAGAATCATGCATTTTTATGCACTTATTTCTGATAACACAAGTCAACACGCATAACTTTAGTCATTTTTACCAAATTTCATGACTTTTCCTGGAAAATGAACACACATTTCTATGACTTTTCATGACTTTTCCAGGCATGAAAAAATAAAACAGAAATCTAAACCTGCCTTTGATAACAGTTTACATGTAAAACTTTTATCCTAACAGTCCTCAATCCTCAAATTTCATTATTTCAAATACATCCAAGGGGGCTACGGTTAACACACACATTGCTGATAGCTTCTGGAAAACTGGATCCCTGACTACACAAGCTAATGTACATTGCTTACGGTATAATGAAGGATAGCCCCAGTGAGACACCGACTGCTATCGGTAGCCAGCCGAGACCAACAAACAACCACGGCGTACACATGGTTCTCTTCCTTGAGACCTTACTACTGTTGGGTAAGATTTACAAAAAAAATCAAATTTATTACTTTTTTTCTTTTCATTTCCAAACTTTAGCAAAACTGATTCACTCCCGGTAAACTGCCCATTCATGAAGCAATGAACATACCACTGACACACTTACTATGTGTGTCTGTGGCGTAAAGCATGCCGAGCCAGTTTTCAGCAGAATGGGCACAAAATTGTTGCACATTTCCCGCATAAGGATTGTACCTGAGCAATATGTGCGTGATAAAAATTGTTGTTAAATGTCCCCCAATAGCATGAATTTATAAGTCCTCGCTGAATTCCATTTATTGTTGGCTCCACGGAAGAAGCTTCTACAGTCCACATCAAGAGTTCATTTCCAGATTGGACTCCATGCTGGAATTCTAGATCACATAATCCATTCTTCCCTAATAAGCAATGATCATTCAAGTCCCATGTAAGGCAACTGGCTGAACGCTCTCCATTCCTAAATCTTATGAAATCACCTGAAACGTCCGACTGGTTTCATGGGGTCTGGGAAACGAACTTTTTTGCACTAGTTCAACAGCCTATATTCAGACACCTGACCAAGATCATTCTATTGGGAGATACACAACTTGGCCTAAAACAGACACAACTTCTCACTTAAAAGGAGTATGCAACCCCTTAACAACACATGTAGCCATCCCACCTGTCCGTATCTCCACCCAACGATGTTGAGCCATAACTGGAAGTGTTTGCCACGTCGGTTGATGCTTCACGCTGAACAGGTTGTGTTTCCATCCCCAAAGATTCAGACATTGCACAATTAACCGCGCCCTTACAAACTTATTCCAGCAATGACTAGCATACGTAATGCTGCTGGGTACACAAACCGACTAACACTACATACATGTGCACTTAGTCGGCTCTTAATAAAAACCGATCAAAGGTAATAATGTCACAAGCCTCATCTTGTTTAGTTTGTGTGATTGAGCTGATAATGGGATGGAGCTTATGTAACACACCAAAGCTAAGTCACACTCACAGTCTTTATCCAGCATATTCTGTTCAGCTGTGATGTCCAAATAGACAAGTCCATAAGGACCATAAACACTTCCCCAGGATGTAGTCATGGGAAAAAGACCTCATGACGCTGTCTGGAGATTTTAAAAAAGGCAGCGGTTCGACATTTGTTTTGAAAATTTGAAAGCACCTGACCCTAGGTAAAAATTTCCTAAATTCATGTGCCTTCATAACATTTAAGTTTACCAAAAATGCCACAACACTGTATGTGGAATACAAACTGAGCTTTCCTTGGGGGGGGGGTGGAGTTAAAGTATCATGTCCCAATCTCCCTGTTCTTCCTCCAAGACACAAGCTGGTTTTTGCAACACTGGACTTGCTGTGTAATGAATGACTTACCACTTTGTGACCTATTCGTTCATCCACGCTGTTGCCATTTAAAGAGGTCTACATCATCTGGAGTAAATTTTGACAGGAAAAAAATGTGGACATGCAATATGTATGCTCTTATAAGACTTATTAATAAGACAACAGATATTAAAAGTGAAAGTACAGAACATTCCTTGATTGCACCGTCAGACAGGCAATAGAAAGGACACCAAGTTCACACCACAAAGTTATCTACAGTTTGGGGGATCGTACACCCCACCCCCTTTTATATGCATATGTGTCGAAGATATTTGCCCTTTACAAACTAATCTTTGAAATATGTTCAAGACTCAACATACTGCCAGGGAGGGCAGATCAAAAAGGGCTGAGCAAACACATGAACAATGCTGACATGAGGACGTTACCATGAGAGGTAACGTTATGTCACCAATGCGATAATTTTTTTCTAGCCACGAACGTGCACATGATTCTGTCTTAACGGCACCAGTACAAGAGAGAATTGTAACGGCACTAACAATTTATACCATCATTATCGTTATGATCAAGCTCAATTACATGATTTTTTTTCATGCTTAAGCAAGGTGAAATAATTCAGAGTAAGAAAATTTGCTTCATCAACAGACTCACTTTGTCGTCTAGCTTCCTGCACTGAAGCAATATTAATTAAAATAGTAATGCCTGTCACCATCACGTGCAAGTGCAGTTGTCAATAGAGGTTTGTACCAAAATGTATTAGGGGTGTTCTGTGTTGTATTTGTGGTGCTGGTTAAAAATATTCTCCAAAATAGCAATGATTCATCCATCACAACCAATGCGCTGAAACAGAATCATTTCAATAATAAAATTGATAGGAAGACGTCTTTTGGAGACAAACTCATGAAGCAAAATTCCAAAGTCTGTTGTAAATATCTACTACACGAGTCTACCACTCCTAGATGGTTAATGTAGTTGTCTTCACCTTTACTTATTTGGGTCGTTGGTGGCGCGTTACTCCAATCCACCGATCGATTACACATGTCAGAAAAAGCCAAATAGCAAGTAAAAAAGGGCTGCGATAATTCTTTTTGGGGCCAAGTAGGCGTCAAAATATACATTAAACAAAACAGGCCGAGGTAAGAGAAGCAAGGTAAGTTTCTGGTCAGATTAGTGCAGTTGAGCTGTGGCTTTCTTCGGGGGAGGAGAATTTATGCATTTCTTCAAGTTGTCGATGACTTGGGTCCTACTTCAAGTTCAAGTTTTAGTCCTAGCCTAGGGCTAAGTTTGTCATTAATGCCAAGTGTTGCAAAATAAGTCCGAAAAGCAGGACCCTGCATCGTCTTTTTAAACATTTGGACGTGGGTGGGCCATACGACTCAGGAGTGGGACACAAACTAGACAAGCATGACAATCTATAAAAAGTTTTGCTCTGTAGTTAGGACGGGGGGGGGTTATTCCTTTTTCTCCCACAATTGCTTCGAACAGAAATGTAGCTGATGTTCCTGGACCATTCCTTTTTAGTTTTCCATAGTTAACCCCCTCTCCAAAATGCCTCTGAAGCCATTATTCAGGGAGGGGGAACACTGGACACAGCGAATCCACTCATCTTCAGACACTACGCTACACCACACTTCTTTCCTTCGGAGGTCCACACTGTATGCCAATGGCTATGCTCACTCAGCCGAGCCAGCCCCAAGGCATTGGATAAACCTGAGTTTGGGACATGACAAGTTTTTTTTTTTTTTTTGGTTAGATCAGGATGGCCTGTCGGCCACAGGGCTTAGGCTTCTTGCCAGTCAGCATGTTCCTGTTGCTCGTCATCACCATCGGAATCTCTTATCTCATAGCTGTGCTGAGGGGCGACGTCCCAGTGGTGTTTCCATACATCAGGTAATGACAAGATATCGCAGGGATCACTGCTTCAAAAATAATTCAAAATCACCCGGGTGTTCTGTGCCGATCTGATAGTGGTCCAAATTCTTTACACGGAACATAACAAAATCTCTTGCACTATTCCTGGTCAGACACAGTGAACATGTATATTCTTTGCCGTCAATAACTGTTCAGAAACTGATGGTGGTCAGTCCACTTCCCCTCCTTCAACTGATCATATTCCTGAGACTTTCATTCTCTTGGACCACTTCCACATTTTTGAAACAATTGTCAAATGATATACACATATTTCCACAAGCAACGATATCCTTAGATCTTAAGATGAGAAACTGACTAAGTATGATGCAACATCTTTGACAGTAATTTGAGTGTACAGTCGCCGGGTCCCTTTTTTCACCATTTACTGCAAAAACCAATCAGACTGCACCATAGGTGTCAAACTTAGGGACCCGGCGGCTATAAAATCTGAGGCATTAGAGGAAGTGGGAGATTAAACTTCGGGTGTGTACACATTTTGGAAAATTGAAATGCCTTGTTCGATAGATTTTCTCCCTTTTTTTATTTCGTTTTCAGCGATACGGGCGCAAAGCCCCCGGAGAGTTGCGTTTTTGCCCAGTTTGTCAATCTCTCTGCCTTGGTCTGTAAGTGCTTGAATCTTCTTTGCTTCGTCCATTCAGCTGGGACGAAATTATTCCAAGTAAAAGCCTTGGGAATTAGCAGGGATGAGATTTCTCAGCTTTTCAGCTGATATCAGCTTTTTTTGTTTTGGATTTCAGCATTTTTCCCTGACTGGCTGTGTACAAAAGCAAAGGAGATTTTCACAGTTGAGCTTCTTTATGCCTTTTTTTGGCTGTTTTTAGCCATTTTTATCATTGGTCAATCTCATCCCTGAATTAGAGAAGACAACGTTACATTGAATCCCAAAATATAATAAAAATAAACTAAGTAAAGGCTGGATATGAGGCTATGAAACGATACCCATGTTGTTGGTCTTGTGACCCCAAATGTGAGGGTCGTAATATGGGCGTTTCACAATAGGGCGCCTCCAAGAGTTTGCAACACATTGACCAATCACTGTGCACAAAATCTGTCGACCCAATGCGCATTTAGAAAGGATCGACAGATTTCGCGCACAGTGATTGGTCAACGCGTTGCAAACTCTTGGAGGCGCACTATTGTGAATTGCCCCTATTGTAAAAGCACTTTAAGAGATGGTACTGATGGACGGTTCTTTAAATAGGTAATGAGGAGACACTTTATCACCAGGAATGATACCTTCAGGAATCATCTCGTGTGAGGGAAGATTAAAGTTTATGGGAAGTTAGTTTGGCATCTGATTTACGTGGAGAAGTGCACTCAATTTGTTCCCAGTTGGTTTTACCATTTCAGCATCGTAGGTCATTAAACGAATGAGTTTTTGGGAATATCCCCCCAAAAGTACCAATGATTCTCAGTGTTTTGATAAATTAGGGAATAAATGTGTGCTTGGCTGGTCTGAACCAATCAATTAAGAGCAGGTCACTAGGAGGATGGATTCAGAAAATGCCTAAGATGAAGGCGAGGGACATTGTCAGCATCCATTCTTCCGAGCCGAACGTTGAAGACAGGCCAAGCACATTTACCTCCAATTACGAACACCTTTTGAGTCACAAAGTTAAAACACATTTGAAAAATTATAAAATTTCAACACATTTGTTCAAGTTTACCCCATATTTTGAAAGTCTCTTCTACACATGTTGTGTTTCTCTCGCGAGTAATTACGGTTTATCCCCTTATATGGAAGTTGGTGCATACGTGGCATATACTGCTCCCTCCGAGAGGTGGCGAACAGCCAGCCAGTGTGTTTTATTAACCATTTGTAATTAAGACCAGCCCTGTGACAAGCTCTCGCTGAGTAGAAATGGCCAAGCCACCTTGGGTGTCCATGAACACCTATTCTAATTGTTCCGCACAGTACTGGCGCTGGTGTTTGTCCGCTATAAAGAGCTGGACACGATCGAGGGGTTGCCGCCACGGAGCATCGGGTGCCTGAACAAAGCCAGCTTGTTCCTGGGGCTGGCTGGGACATTCGGTCTCAGTCTCGTCGGCAACTTCCAGGTAAAAAACAAGAGAGTACGGCTGCGCAGTTACGATGAATTTGTTGTTGAGCGTATATCCTCCGTTCATCTTTAGATCCAGGAATTTTTTTTCTGGGGGCAGGTCGTTCAGATTTTTTTATGCCAGACTATTGCAGACAGACACAAAGATGCATTGTGTGTTGCTGATGAACAAATAAAGACCCTCACAGGATGCCATCTTTTCGTGATTATTACAATAATTGTTACTTCATTTATTTGTTCTTTTATATATGTGTGTGTGTGTCAGAGCAGGGCGGTTTTGACCCACGAGACACCTCCCCCTTTTTGTTGGCATTTTATTCAGAATTCAAGCCTTTCTTTCCCTTAAAACCTCAACCATGTTGGCCCTGTATTATTGCCGATGCCTGGATATGTAAGTGTAAAGATTGAAAAATCTCTTGTAGGTTATGAAGGTTTTTGCCCTGAATACTTTTTCCAAATTTTTGGTTATCCTTTATATGTTCCACAGGCAGCATATTAAAAAAACAAGGAAAAAAAATGGAATTTACTGCCAGTGTTATTGTTTGAGCATATTTGAATTTATCCCAAAGCACTAAAACCTGCAGAAAAAGAAAAGAAATTGCAATATCAGCAAAGGGAAGAACCAGAGTGGAACGTTTTCTCAAGACTGATTCCAATATCAGTTCAATATTAAAACGTTTGTGACTTTATGATTTTTTTTTCCAGGATGTCAACGTCATTGTTGTCCATGAAATTGGAGCATTAACGCTGTTCCTCTGCGGCACCATTTATGCCATCATCCACGTGCGCATCTCGTATCTGCTCTACCCGGAGTATTGTCGCCTTCTCGTCTGCCGACTGCGTCTCCTCCTTTCGCTCATGATGCTGGTCTCCTTGGTAACCTGTATCCCTTTCTTAAACAAAGGTTGAGATTTTTGGAGAATGAGATTTTTTATGTCATTTGAGATACACTGATTCGTGAAAGTAAAGCAGTGTCATCCGCATCAAAATGTGGCGGGCAGCTCGCTGGACAAACGTTTGCTTTGACCAAAAGTGCCAAGACCCATTTTAACATGGGTACTTTTTCACAACGTCAAATAAATGTACACATTCAAGCCAAGTACAGGCATCTGGTTGTGACACCACAGCGACCGACATCACCGTGACATTGACAGAGGTTACCTGTAGAGGGCGCTGCAATGCTTAACTTAACATGTTGTGGCACTTTTAACAATCGCGGGTCAGTTGAGTCACCGTCTTAGGTAGGCAGTAGGCTGCATCCAAATCTCTTGTCTAGAGCTAGGTCAAGGTCTTCGCTCCATTGGAAATGCGTGGAGACGCGTAGACAATAGACCTCGCCGTAGCTCTGAAAGCCCGTTTCGGACACGGCCTTAAATTTGTTGGTTGTTGAATGTGAAGCGGATAAAATGGAGTAGGGACAGGGCAACAGGAGATATTAGGGAGAAACCAAACCTTCGAAAAAAACTTTGTGAAGGGGGTTATATAAAAAATAGGGCCAACAATATGGTTGAGTAGGGCAGCAGGATTTTGGTAGAGCAACGGAATATTGTAGCTTGGAATACCTCCCCCCCCAAAAAAAAAACTTTCTGCAGGGAGCACTTGGGTGGTCCCATTCGGGAGAGATTTTTCTTGATTTTCAGATTAAGGAGTAAAGAACGAGATGCCTTTATTTTCCAAACAGTTCCTTAGCAACCTGTTCCCACAGGCGTTACGTTTGAAGGCGTTGCGGAATACAAGTGGATGCATCACCACAACCGGACAGACACACAGCAACTCTGGAAGCCAACAGACGGGGTAAGTTGGTGAGATTGATTTTGTTCCCAGTTGCAACATTGGAGGCTTGACTCACTTTCTTTTTTTTAAACCTTGAGAACGATTCTGCCAAGTTTAATATTTTGTCCGTGAATTTTGTGTGTGGCATCAACAGGGTTACGCCTTCCACATAGTGAGTACATCCTTTGAATGGGCTTTGGCCATCTCCTTCGGTCTCTACTGCCTGACCTTCTTTGGGGAATTCAGGAAGGTCTCGATGCAACTCAACATGTTCCTGCATGTGGAGCCCTTCGCGGTGACCCCAGTCGCCAGCAACGAGGAAGAGCCCAATGAGTACACCAAACTGTATGCGTAGGAGGTCAGGGGCCAGAGGTCAGGCAGGGGGTCAAGGACCTAGGTGCTTGAGAAGGGAAGCCAATACTCATAAGTTGGAACTAATACAATTGGAAGTTCTGTGCGTTCGCACCTTGTATCTAGGGCTAGGACTTTGCTAGCAGCGAATATTCCCAAGCATATGTAGACGGGTAGACAAGGGTCAGCATTCGTTAATGTAAGTCAGAGGCTGGAGGTCATTCAGGGTCAACGCTCACCTCATGTTGGGTCAGGGGTAAAGGTTAAGGTCAAGACTCTATGATGGATGCATCAAAGTTTGGTAAATCTTAGGTTTTGTTTTGATAAATTCTATTCAATCCTTAATCCTCCAACAGTTGGAGAAATTGGGTATTAATTTTTGCAGTGTTGCTGCTGGCTAAATTTAAGATTATCAGCAGTTTTGCTACTCTTAATTGGATGGCGATTTGTGTTTTTAATGTATGTTTGTACTTCTTGAGGCTTGACTTTTTGTGGTAAATTCCCCAAACCCTGTCCCTGCCAGGGTCAGGGAAAGTAGAGGCCCGACTGCCGTCAACCATGGAGCTTTACATCATCAATTACAGCAAATGTACAAAGTCGGAAGTACCAGCAGTAATTCTATGACAGCTACGTCTGTTGATATTGGGATATTATTTTGGAATAGCTATTAGCCTATAAAGTAAACAGAATTTGGGTGTTTTTTTTTCAGATTATGAGAAGAGAAGATCTCTTGCCGTCATTGTGTGCAAGCTAGGGACAGTGCTTTCAGTCACAACCCAGTTTGCAAGACTTGCCTTTTGTAATCTTCATTTGTGTCTTGAAGTGTTTCTTTGCGACGTGTGACCCTGTCGAAATGAGCAGGACAAGAACGCATGGTTGAGCCTAAATCATATTTGCAAGGGGACCTAGGGAACAAGGTCTTGGAATCCAGACTATGCGCAGGTTATTATTTACTGTAAGCAAAAGTTAAATGGCCAAACTGTCTGTGTATATTCTAAATTTGCTAAGCAAATAAAGCCATATTGCATGTTTAAGCGTAGAAGCTCTGAAATCTGGTGCTTGCCAGATGTCGTCCTAGCAATATCAAAGTGTCCACTGAAATTTCTTTTAACTTTTACAAAGTGTTAGCTTTCATTATTAGTTGTCTCGTCATACTTGGCATGATCACTATTTCCAAAGAATTATTTTGTTAATAATATTGTTTCTTTGCTGATAGTTTCAAGGTATGTCTTCTGATTGGAAACCGTAAGAGACACTTTATTTGGGTTTTAGATAACACCAAAGGTGTGTACAGTTGTTAGAAGTAGAATTGGGGAGTTTCTTAGTAAGTTTATCCAAAAAGTCTGAAATCGTAAAATATTGCCTCTTTCTGTGTAGTAGATCGTACTTGCAGTAAGATGTATTAGCCAAAGAGAAAAACTTGTCATTTATATTTGTTATGAGCAAGATTGTCGCAGGTTTTAAATGTCTTGTGTAAAAGGGGAGAGGTGTTATAATAAGATGGGTGGAGCCTCTCCAGAGAGAGAGATTGGTGGATTTTGCTGAAGAGAGGTCTCCCTTTGATGCTGAATTAAACTGTGGAGCACAGTTCCCAGACTTCGTTTGTTGGTTACTGTTGTAAGTCGTCCTCGTGTTTGTCATCCGAACAGTTCATGTCGCTTCCTTTCCCCCAAAAAAACTTTTCTGGTGATTTTGCTCTCTCTGTGTCCTTCGACACTCATCTGTTATTTGCAAAAATATGCTGAAATATTGGAATGGTTTTTAGGTGATATTTTAAGTAGCTTTAGAATTCCTCTTGGGTAAATAACAGTAGGTTTTGGCAAAAACAAATACCCATTTAATCCATTAAAAGAAATAAACCAAAGTGAAAGATGTAGACTATAGAGGGCGCTGTAGTGGGCTAGGCGTGCGTACGTACGTACGTACATATGTATGCGCTGCTTGCAGACGACAGGCATGACAGCTAGCTGACCGGAGGACTATTAACAGGAGTCCTGGTCCAACCATTTTTTAACATGGTGTAATCAGAACAGAAACAGCGTGGGAAAATGTGGCGGACTGTGTTGAGCATCGAGGGTTCCTAGCCCAGATGAACTCCCCGACCGTTGTGGGCCCGGGCGTTTTGGTGGTTCCTAGTCCGTTGTGTTTATGCATGGAGGAAGTGGCCTCTAGGCCTCTGACAAGTTGTGGCTCACTGTTTTAATTTTATTTGGAAGGCATTGGATTGGGGCACATTAATTACAGTTCTTTGTCATGTCACTGACCTGTGTAAGCAGCACTCTGCCCTACAACTATGGGATTTGTTGCCCTTACCTCTATGTACGGTAACGGAGTGCATGACTCACCTCATGCGGAAGTTAGGCATTTTTGGGTAACATAGCCAGCAGTACAGTCATGATTGATCATGATGATGTGGGGCATGTACTGTTGTAGGACCTAAGCTAGAGAGGCTGGAAATGAAATTTTCAAACATTTTTGTCTTTTATTTTTGAAGTGATCTTGGAGAGAATTTCATGGTCATAAGAACTATTTTGATATAAATTTGGATTCCATCGGACTCTGCAAAGCAAAGAAAAATTGATTTGAAGCGGGGATGTTTTGAGATGGTTTTTTTATACACGTAATGCAGAGCAAACTGTGATTATTTTGTACACAAAAATGAGTGTGGATTTTAAATGAAAACCTCTACCATGCCTCAACATTCATATTTGTGTAAAATCTTTGTTCTTAATTGTGCCTTATATCAATGAATCAAATGCTGGCTTCACGTCAGTTTTCAAACATTTTGAATTTGGAAATTAAATAGAGGAGCTACAGTGTGCAAAAAAGGTGAATTTCAATCACAGTTTCCTATTTAAGAAAACGAGTTTCCAAACAAACCGAGCCCTCACTCATTTATGCATGTCCCTACCTAGGCCGAGGTCAGGTCCGTGCATGATGTGTTTTTCAGAGCAACATGTTACAGCATGTTTGCGGACCATTGAAGTTGTGCATGGAGAAAATAAGAGCACATTTCTAATGTCCACGAGAGTATAGTCTCGAGGTGGTTTATTTCACCTCCATGACCATTTACAGTGAAAATCAATGAAACTTGATACTTGGCGGTGAAATTAGGGACCTGTTGACTATACAGTCATTGACGTTAGAGTGCTCTGCTGTCATGGTTGTAATTTTTCCTTCGACGTCTAGATGGCGGTTCTCTCTACAAGAGGACTTTCATTTGTCTGCAGATATCTGGATCATGGAGGTCCGTGATTACATCATGAAATTCCCTCCTCGCTGGAGGGGAGTCTTTGCCCCTCTCTCGAAAAACCATCAACCCATCGCAGGAGCGGATTCCTGGCTTCTGGAGAGCCGTGAGGGCACTCTCGCCTGCCACAGCTACAACAGATCCAGCAGTCACAGTGACCCTGTAGACTGGAAAGGATTTGTGGACAGTCTGTGTGAGAAGGAGCCGACCGAGGTTGAAGGTCAACTTGTTTTGTAAGTGTGGCTTGATGTGTTGTGCTATCAATTCCGTCACCTGTGGAAGGTTATCCACCCTCCGTGGAACTTTAACCCTTCCTCCCAGGCCAAAAGCTGGTGGGAACCATTTTTGACCGGTTGCCGTCAGCTGGCACACATGAATCTAGCAACTTATTGATGGCAGATGGCTTGCTCCAGTGGCCTGCTTACATGGCTCCAGTGTGGCTTGCACAAGCCATGCATCACAAACCTCATGCCTTGTGCCCACACCAAATGTTAAAATGTACACCTACCTTCTGTTGTCATGCTTGTTCAACCTTGGAGTAGATGTACTTACTGATATTCACCTTACGATATCCTTCTTTTTTTCCAGCTTGCCAAGAATTCTACTGTTCCCCGTTAACATCCAGAGAAACACGATTGCATTTCTGTCTCAACGCTCATCAGAGATTCCCATGCCTTGCCTAGAGAAACTCCTAGATTCGTTAAGGAATTGTGCCATACCCGATGAGTGGACGAAACACCACCTAAGAACAATGCAAGATTTTGTTTGCCGGAAACAGTGCCAAAGTGCCGGGCCAGCCGGCAACTGCCTATCCAGATTAACCCGGTCATCTAGGGGCATCTTTGAAAGTGTCTGCCGGCAAGTTGGGGACACGGACAGGAGTCGGGAGGAGGGCGGGGGATTCATGCTGCAATTTGATTGGCCGCCTGAAGCCTCGTCATCAAATCAAATCCCCTGCCAGCACAGCAGGTGCTTTGTAGCGGAGACAGAAAGTCTAGATACCCTAAAGAGAGCATTCGTCCACCCTGAAAGCATTGCACTCTCCAGCAAAGAGGGCGAATCGAAGACAGAATGGAAAATCTCTACTGCAGTGCACTCCGACAGCCCTGAAATCATAGAGATTGAGGACTCACCGCCGTCATCCCCAATGGAGGTAGAAATAGTTTCCGTACAAAACGTGCCAGAGAAGTCTTCAGAAAAGTCACCGGGAGCACATGAGACCATTGATGCGGTTACCATGGTGAGATTAGATGCTGGAGTAGTGCACACAGCCGATCTTGCCTTCTGTCTTTGGAATTTCAAAATTAAAGGCCAGTTGGCATTTCAAGCGAATGCAAAAGCGAAGGGAATTGGACGTCACCAAATGTTTGCAATGAAATTTGCTCCAGTTGAGCTGTGCTTTTGAAAATTTGCAGCACAGATATTTGATCTGATATCAAAAATACATGTTATTCACTTTCACACCAATCATCAACCTGGCCTTTAAGCACGTTTTTTGAAGGAGTCTTCATAATTCAACCATTTGTCCTCGTTTTTGCAGGACAAGTTGACTTCCCTCAAGGCTGTGCTTGCAAATTATACATCGGGAAAATCGATCTCCCCAGAGTCCGTGAAAGTCCTCATTGAGTGTCCAATGGATCAGGTAAAAAGTGGTTAAAAGAATGGATGGAAACAAAGCCGTGAGAATTTTAAAGCCTGAGAGTTAGAGCCTGTGTTTGACGTGACAGGAGATGACCCCTGCAGACCAGTTTTAGTCGATGAAATGGTTTTGAGTTGAAAGTCCTCTTTTTGTTTTACCTAGAATTTGACTTTAAATTTGAAATGGCATAAACTTCCCTGAAGGGAAAAGAGGGAACCTGAAATCTAACAAAAATGGGACTTGTGACTTTAGCTGTCCTGTGGCTTGTGTGGGAGACTGCTTGAGATTTTCTTCTGATCTGCACTCCAGATGGAAGCAGCGTGTGACATTCTAGATTTAGACTCTGCACCAGCCGCAGGTCTGGCTGCCTTGGCCCAGCAGCTGGCGGGCTTCTCCTTGGAGCTGAGTCATTCCAGTGCCGCCATTCTGGCAAGGAAATGTTTTGGCCAGCAGGTATGATCTTGGAAAAACTTCCCAAAAC